AGCTTAATAAAAATGCAAAACTTTATAGCAACTAAATTAACCACACTATGAACATAGTTAAAATAGTTCCAACGCAGGCCATAAATGCACACTAATTCCTTAATTTTACAATCCATATAATCCAGTTTTAACGGTTTTATTAACTTTCCGCAATTTCAACCTTTCTTTTGTTTATAGCTTTCAAAGAGACTTAACCGTACCATTAAAAACATATTCTAAAAATTATATTAATAAAATATGGCATTAAAATACGGAAACATTTTGCAATTTAATCACCATTTGTGAAAAAATATCACAGTCTTTTTTTTTGTTTCAAATTTTTGTGTAGTCGCAGAAAAATCAATTTATTGCTGAATTAAAACTGTCAGTTTAACAGCAGCTACCTATGTGATAGGCGGAAGCGACATCAAAAATCTTGTTAGATTCCAGTTTTACACTAAAATTGAACATCAACAGATTGCAATATTGATCAAACACGAACACAATTTGCAATATTTAATTTGTCTTAGAGAAACTCAAAACCAAGTTATGTCTTTTAAAGTCAAAAGTAAGGTTCTTATCAAATGTAGAAGCTCCCATTAATAGAATAATCTGCAGTCAGTGTTAACTATAAAATTCTGTTATATAGTGTCGAGATAAACGCCTGAAGGCCGGCAAAGTTGCGGAACTTTAAGTTCCTAGATGACACCTGCACACATTTGCAATTTCATTAAATTTAAATTATTAGGTGTTAAATGAATATGTAGTACAATATTGTTCAAATGCACAACTGCATTTAGTTCGTGTTTAATTTATGCTATTAAGGACAATGTATACATTTCTAGGATTTGTGGTACAAACTTAATTGGAATAAATGAAACTTTGCTTAATTAATTTTTAACCAACATAAAGTTGTAATTGTTACATAATTTCTATTATAGTGTAATATAAAATTTTGATGTGACCAAGAAAGTTTGTTGGGAACTTTGTTTTGGCGACATTCTTTCATCATTAAATAATTGACTGAGAGTCGGAAGTTTGTGTAGAGTTTTACAAATTTAATTAAAAAGAGAAGTAATTAATATTAATTAAAATAAGCTTTGATGTTTGTGGTGTAAGCGTATTTCTTGGTGTGCTCATTGGTGGCACCGTCGTTGATTAAAACACCAAGAGTTTCGCTTTAAACAAGTCAATAACACACAAGAAAAGTAATTGTTTTGGGATCGTTAGATGGAAATAATTTATGGCAGACGTCGATTTAATTCAATTTTTATCGCGGCAAGAAAGTAACAATTCCATTACATGAAGCAAAGTGTGAGATGAAACCAGATTTGAATTTCATTTAGAGCTTTTGGCAGGGTCTTTGTCTATTATATTCGAACCCAAGATACAAAGAACTCGAACCCTAACACATCAAAATCTAATCACGCGGAAAAGTATCACACCAAATGACGTTAAAATCAATTGATTTTGACTTTGCAAGGTAGAAATGGATTACCTTCTTTTTTCTTCTTTTCATAACAATGCCACAGCTTAAATTAAATCAAAACTAAAAGCGCCAGTAATTAGTTTATTCTTTAAGCTAATTACATGTGCACAAACATTGTTCTAGCAGAAAAGCTTTTGGCAGTGAAAATGCACTAAAAATAAACTGGTTAAAGTTTAAGTAATTAAAATTTTGTTGTTAAAATCGTTTATTGAGATATAAAATTTGTTGAGCGAATAACATATTAGGCCAATTTCTAACTTAATTAACTTCTACTATTTGCTGAATAGAAATCAAAGTTTAATAAACACAGTCTTTTCCTCAAAATTTACAATTTTGTTGCAACGCGTATAAAAGCACAAAACATTTCATTAATAGATCAATTTTAAATATGTAAGATCCAAACGTTGAGCATTCAAGAAAATATAAAATTAGAAAATTCCTTCCAAATTCAGTGGAGTTTAATTGACTAATTAATAATTCTAAATTGGATTTACAAATTTATATAAATAAAACGTGATCGTTAAAGAAAAAATCCGAAAAGAAAATCATGAATATATGTCGTTTAAGCAATACAGTCTTTTTCTGCAAATCAAACACAATAAAGAAAGTGGATAAAAAGGAATTTTGTAATTTGTGTGTTTCTCAACACAATTCCATGTTAGTCAACGATTTTGGTCATTCTTCTTTTTTCGACCATCAGTTTAAACATTGTAAATGTACTAAATCTGCATGTGATAAAAATTCTTTGGTTGAATTGTTAAAAGCGAATGGAAATTCGAGCTTAAATTTTTATTTCGACGTCCTAGAACCGAACTGAAAGTAAATGTTCTTTATAAAAGCAGCCGTGCATAGCGCCCCTATTGAAAAAGTCGATGAAACGGCTTTAGAGTTTTTCTTTTAATCATTTATCATGTTACTTTATGTATATATACGTACTGTATGTTAATATACAATTTGTCTAAAAGATATAAACCGTCTCAGATTTGTCATGCCATTCAACTAACGTTGATAATTTTTCATTAGCATTATTCACACCCACATAAGAGAGTTTATGGCCACTCCCATTTAATGTAATTCCTCCAACAAAAGTGACTAAATTCCGTGAAATAGTTTTGTGTGCGTGCACTTTCTCCCTCTGACAAATCAAACATATTTACTATATGTCGTTGATATGACGCATGGAAATCCTCGAGAGACTTCTCCCTCTCGGCAATAAGGCATTAATAATAACTTCACATTCTGAAGGGCGAATACATAAATATGTATGGTCTCTGATCACGACAGATTAACATTTTGCATATTCCAGAAATAAGCGACAAATCACTGTCACCGCTCTAATTGAAAGTATTTAAAATCCTAACTGAAAAACGGAAGAGTCCACTGATATAGTTATTACGAGATAAAACAATTTTTTAAGCATGTAGCGTCATTAAAAATATTATTATATGGCAATACTTACGTGAAACCGTGCATAAAGTTAATTTAATAAAACAAACAAGAATGAAAAACGTGAATTTGTCAGTATTTATTTTTATCATTAAGGACGGGACAGACCAACCTGTATATCTATTACATTTGTCATGATTACCGTGTCCTCGCGGAACAATAAACGTAAAATTTTAAATCATTTTTACGACAACTTCCGAAATGGTAAAAATACATCAGATGTATCTGATATATTTTTATTTATTTCCATAAAATTTGATGTAAATCGGCCAACGAAAATAGATGAGGGTGAATTACAAAAGGGCGTAGGCATATCACTTGTATCAGAGCGGTTTTTTTAATTTTGGACGTAAATTATGACGTTGTTGCTCTTAATTTATCCAAACAGTCTAGTATGACCCATATGCATACATAAAAGTAATTAACATGTTACATGCAAATTCATCTAAAAAATCATAAAGCTTGAGTTTTTGTAATTTTTTTTTCAACCATCTTTCTTGTAATCAGTGTCCGCAAGCTCAAAATACACAGTTTAATTTAATTTTAAACTAGCGAGGCCATTATGCTATCGAAAAAGTCCAAACAAACAGCTTTAACAAAGCAAACAAATTTTTAAACTAATTGGCTTAAATTTAAACGGTAAAAGAACTCGTCAACATGTTACAATCCTAGTATGGAAAATTTATGAATACAGAATATACTCTCTATTCAAAATTTTCCTCTGTATAATTTAACAAACTATGTTCTCAAATTTTGAAAGTAACTTTATTACACAAATAAATAACAAGGTTTGACCAAAAGAAAAATTTTAATTAACTGATTAATGTTTTTTTTGTATTTATAGTCACTTTTATTATTAGATAAAAACTCATTAGAGTTTTTCCTGTTGACATTGAATTAGCTACAAAGTTATCAAATTTTGAGTAAAAATACTGTTGTCTTTTAATACTATTATTGTTTATATTTATAGACATCCCAAAGCGTTTATGCATAGGCTGTTCTTCAAATCGATTCAAATTCCAATTTAATTTTTATCAATTTTTCATTTCTTTGCATTTCCAATAATGTAAGGTTAAAATATTAAAATATTTTGTGTTGGCCATTGATTAAAGCATTAATTTTTTTACTTGTATATTATTAACTTAAAAAAATCATATTTTCTTTTTAATTTATTTAAACACAATTTAGTTACTGAAAGTGATATAAATTTATTTTTGTTGGGAGGGGCAGCTGTTTGTAAATTTGATTAAACAAATAATTCTGCTTTGTCTGTATTTGTATTTTTTACAGACCAGACGTGATCAATTGGAATATGTTTGTTTTTTAAAGATAATTAACATCACAGACAATAAAAATTTGGAAACAAATATTTTGTTAGATTTGGCTAAAAAGTAATCTTGTTGTGTGTAGTCTAGGCCGCAATTAATGGACACAGAGACTGGTGTACGACAATTACAAGATTTAGTTATATATTTTATTTTGCCCGGCGCATCCACCATTTTTATTTGGTGCTTATAAATTCGTAATTAGCGCGTTTTAAGTTTATTTAAATTTTAGATTCTGTTGGGATTGTATGTTTGTATTGTTTTTGATTAACCCACTTTATTAAAGCCGCTCACTGTTATTGTTTCAGTCTCTAGTTGTGTTTGAATTCGTGGTAACTCAAACTCATTTCGTAAAAGACAAAATCTTGAGAATTAGGAAAAAAAATTCAAAAGTACAGAATACCTAGCGATGAATTTGGCATATCACTTTCAGTATTCATTTTTGACGAATCGCAGAGTCCTCGCTTTCTTTGTAAAATTCAATGGAAGCGATGACAATTAAGTTAGCACAACGCGGATGAATGCTTAAATATTTTGACTAACGACAAGGATTCATCATAATCCTGGTACGAAAGTAAACCGCACTGACACTGGGATACGTTTGTGTTTTCATGAAAATGAAATGATTTTACAACTCACAGCGAACTTTGACAGGTGATGAGGGTGGTGAGGATGGCGATTATTATCGGTTATATATCAGTACTAGGGAGTGGTGGCCTTGACATTTTTCAAATTTAGGGGAGGTTAAATAGGATACTTACCGAGTGTGGATGATATAGTGAGTGATTGGACTGTGGTGCGTGTCTTGCGAGGGGGCCCATGAGAGGTTGACCGACCTAGATGTAAAGCTGACGATAAGAGGGCGACCCGGCGCATCAGGCACATCTACAGAAAAAAACACATTTTCAACACAAAAAACATAAAAGTGCTTCAGGATTCAAAAAGAACATCAATTTAAGGTTTAGAGTGGCACATATTGCATGCAAAATGTAAAAATAAAAACTCAATTAACAGAATTAAATTGATGTTTTTGAAAAGGCTGGGTGCTAGTGTCGTTTTTGCGCAATCTTAGTTTCTTATTCTGTTCTTCAAATGTACAATTCATTTTACAAAATTGAATAAAAATTATAGAAATTTCCTAAAAATGCAAAAGAATCAGTGTTTTCTTTTTTTGAGTGGTATATTTTGAATTTCAGTCAGGGAAGCGTATAATAAAGGTGTGCAGTCGCATATTTTGCGGTTTCTAGCGTTGGAATGATAAGGATGATGAAAATTTGTGTCATCTAGTACAGGGTCGTCTCACGTGGAGGAAATTAACTGAGTTACTCAGTGATAACTGCGTATATAGTAGTTAAACAGCGTTCTCAGTTGTAGTTGGTTTCTGTGAGTCTGTTTTGCGAGTTTGAGATCTGTTATTAAAGTGTGGAAGGAGGCGTGAATTCAGTGCGTCAAAGAGGTGTGGATTCTGCGGAGTGAAACCGGTTTATTCTGTAGGAAACAATTTGCGTTTTTCCATTTAGTTAAACAGTGTAATTATCGGCAACGGCACGCGAGGATGGGACTAGCGACGGGTTGCTAAATGATAGCTACCCGGAATCGATTCAGTTTAACACTTGCAGTTCACCGGAAGGAGAGACCGGCGACCGGAGCCGGAGACCGGCTGAGCTTAAACGGTCGCTGCGTCCTCTCTTTGCGTAACGACTGTCTGCGTTTGGTAAATCTCCAGGGCTTAACACCTCATTTCATGTTTCATGCATCTAAACGAAATCAAAGAACAATGGGGCGCAGTTTCCGGGAAATAGGTGCGTTTAACTTGATCGTTTCCGGATATCGGCAAATATCTATATGGTGCATAGTTGCTAATCCGATTGCCGCATTAAGAGGGGACGAAATCGTGTGTATACAGTTCTAAAATTTTTAATGATACGTAAAAATGTTCATCGCGTTTAAACGCACCCTGGCTGCTTCTGTTGTCCGAGTTTTCGCTCGAGAAAAGACAAAAGGGATCGGCTAATACTCGTATATTTTTCAGTATACTTTATTTCGCCTCGTATCCTCGCTGCAGTCGACAAATTCGATTTCGAAAATTGATAAATCAAAATTACTAACGCGTAAAATGCGCCACTACTTGCTCACAGTTACTTACATTGTTTCGCACGATTCTCGTTTCATTTACGTTAAACATATTCAGCATCACCAATCGCTCACTTAAACCGGAAACTAGAAAACCGCAAAAACAATCTTTTTTCCACCCTTAAACATTAAAGCAATGGACTTTATACTTACACAATAAAATCTTTTCATATATATAAAGAGTGTTTCTTGCCAAGTCCACCCGCTTCATTTAATTCATAGCGGCTATCATGTCCCCGATTTAACCCATGAATATTAATAGCCATTTTTTTGCTTTTCACTAAGATAAAATGAAAGAAAGAAGATTGCTGGTAGTATATAACTTTTAGAGAACAGGTTCTGAAAGGACATTTTTTCATGTTATACAACTTGATTCTCTCAATAATTTAATATTATTGCTTTAACCTAGTTAGAACTTTTTTTGGACAAAAATTTTGATTAAAGACAATACATTAAACCAATACCAATTTTGGCTACTTTTTAATTACGAACAATTAATTTAAATGTTTAAAGTTTTCAGTGTCCTAAAAACTTTATTTAAAAAGAAAATGGCGTTGCATAAAGAAAATAAAGTTAAATTACGTTTACTCACGGAGAAAAAAAAATTGTATAGATGCTAGAAACTTTGTAGCCGTCATAAACGGGTTGATATAAATTGTATTCAGAATCTCTGTTAAGTGCCAAAAATAAATAAAACAAATAGCTGTTTAAATAGAAGCATTAAATTGTAAACTTGTATTTTGCATAAATAATGGTACGAATTTAGTTCGACCTAGTTTAACAAAGAAAGGGATAAATTAGTAAATGCTCTCAAATTGCAGTTTTTCTTATTTATTAAAACGCATAACAAATGTGCTATAATTTGAAAACTACAATCTGGTAATTCAAGCGATACTTTAAAAATCGGTGTCTATATTAATTAAGGGTTCAATCGGCGTTGTATTTTCCATAATAAATACTATTACATACAATAATCGAACAAATAGCAAATTTAGTTATTTCTAACGGAATGAAAAACTCTTGAAAATTCTGTGTAAAAGCTAATTTGATTTTAACACATTAGCCGTGCATGGCTTCTGTCAAATGTTTCATTAAAGTGATTGCGTTTTACATTTATATTTTTTACTTTAAAAACACCTTTAATCAATGAAAAATGTAGACGAGCGAGTAAGTAACGACATAAGAAACAAGGGTAAAATAAAAAAGGTGACCAATTTGCTTGTCTAATTTGCAGCGAGTTCGATGTATGAAGCGTTTAAATGAAGTCGTCCTAATTGCTGAAATGGGAATTCTTTAACGTTAATTTTAGATTTCATAAAACTAGGTTAAAAGTTTTTTAATTACAAGATTGAAATTTTGTTGATCTTTGTTAATCTTTGTTTTTTATTTAACGTTTGCATCTAAATTGAACCGCATTTGAAGATAAATAAATTTAGTTCTGTTTGCTAAATTGATTACGCTGTTACGTTATTTTAAAGTGGCTTAAAATAGCATTATGTTTCCATCAATGAATATCGCATTGTTTTGATTGCAAGGTACTATTAAAATTGTTTGTGAGCTTTGGGATTTTATGTAAAAAGTTTGTGGAAAAATGGAACCAAAAGTAAAATGTAAAAGTAATTTTATAGTAAATTTGAATCAATTTTCAATTTTATCGTTGAACGGTTATTAATATATTTAAGTGGAGGATGGCGTATATTTTGTACGGTTGAACAGCACCAGATATATTACATTTTTCATTAATTTTTATGTTCCGCTTCACTCCTTATACCGGAAAAGTCAATAATACAAAAGAAACATGTAATGTTAAATCCAGAGAGATGATTTATAAGGTCGTTAAACTTTTCGCGGTGTAAAGCCGATTTAAAGAGTTGAAAAAGGAAATAATACATTGCGCTCCATTGAGAAGTTTTTTGGTTAGTCTCCTTTTCCAGAGAAAGTTCTAAAAATTGACCAAATTTTCTCATCTTATGCAACATTTGCGATAACAGTAATGAGAGTAAACCGCAGTTTGTGAGGAAACAAGCAGATGTGCCAGAACGAGGTTCTCGTAACCGAGATTTGTTAAATAATTAAAGTTTAGTCCATTTAGCGTTGGACATATAATTGGGTAGGTCGGTGGGAAGAATTTTTAGTCTAGATTTAGTTAAGTAAATTTCGGAGAAATTCATACCTTGCACTATGAGACGAACGATGCCATCCGGTTTGGGTCTGCTATTAACTAAACAAACATAGTCACCACTGTCCTCGGCAATTGCGGGATGAAAACTTAATCCGAAAGTATCAGGAAGAAGTGCAATGCGATGCTGATTAACCCAGACCGTTGTAGAATCACTCATGAACTCCACCAGCTTGACGTTGTGAGTTAGAGAGAGCCATTCTAAGGCTATCACTAAAGAGTGTTCGTTTACTCCAGGACAAGCAAGAGATTTGTTTTCGCCCGCTTTGATGATGATACTTTGGACAGGCAGGTTTGTTACATCTGCAAAATAAAACAAACAAGACAGTGAACTGTGCAGTTTGTGATGAAAATGTGATACGAAGCTTACGTGATTAAGTTATTCTATAACTTCCTTGTCATTTTCACTAAAAATTCAAATTTTGATTTATAAGATAAAAATTGCTCAGGCAGAACGGCCACACGATATATTACAATGTTTACAACACTCACATATCTATATGAAATATAAAAAAGCAATATAAACGTCAGAAGCGTCATATTTGAAATGCTTCTCACATTGAAATGGCTTGATTTGAGTTACGTAATATCGATCAAGACAAATCTTAATATACTATAAATGACGTTCTTGGCGAAAATTCACATTTGCACCGTCAATTCAAAGGTTAGAATTACCTTTTCGAAACTCAAAGTCCCCAAGCAATCTATTAAAAATCAATCATCTGACTCGCGTTCTTTATTTATAAAACGTTATGCAAATAAATTCTCAAGATTCCGTACAAAATAAAATTCTAAGCAAAATGCCTTCTCCCGGATCATATCAGTTCTCTCCGTAGACCCCGGATACTTAAGGGAGTTTTCCAAACTTAACTACTAAATTTACAGATTCTACATTTCTCCTGTTACACAGTAAGATGTTTTTTGCACTTTGATACACGGACTCGGTAATAATTCCCTTTTACTTTTTGTTTATTTTTTTTAAATATTCACACAATATTTCTTGGCTGTTGAAGATTTTTAACACATAACTTGTTTCATTTTTAAATTTACTTTTTAGAACAGATTATTAAACCAGACAAATAATTATCTCAAATTATTTCTTAGAATTCGCTTAAACACGCCACAGTAATAATTAATAATTTGCATAATTGTATTGTGCCACAAACCGCCCACAAAATTATTCTCAGAAGGAAGCGGCTTTTGCCAATATTAAATAAGGTACACCAACCAAGCCCCACATAAAATTGATGAACATCTTGCAAAAGTACAAAACTAACAAGAGCCACTTATTCTCTCAAAATTTTACGGCATTTTAATAGGGAATCGGTTATTTAATTTCAAATCTAATCATGAAGCCGCTAGAAAGTTTATTAAAATATCCATTCCATCTCGATAACTTTTACCTACTCGTACTTCTACAGTGAAACAAACTAATTGATTTAGCTTTCGAAAACACAGCAAACGAAACATTTTTCAATTTCAAACAATTTTCATAATTATTACGGGAAAGTTTTACACAATTTCGAAATATTCTCTCAAGCGGTATTGCTCTTTTTGTAAACATGAGACGACCACCAAGTTTGAACATTTACCGACGGCTAGCAAAAAAGATGTTACTTCGTTGTGATACAGTTCCCTCAGAGAGAAAATTTTATCACAATGATTGCAGATTTATTGACTAGTGATGGATGGGATACTTTGAGTTCCCTCAGAAAAAACTTCGTTGTCTTGTAAAGCAATAAACTGATACTTTAAATGTGAAACTGTAATATATTATGTATCTAGCGATTATTTGTACATGAACACAACAAGTGTTATGCATCTCTCATCAATCATTCATCTTTTCAATCGATTAGTATCTTATTTGCGAGAATATTTCAATATAAAAACTAAATTTCGTGAGTTTGCCAAATGTTTCAACACATTTTGAATACACAAATTTCCTGCTTGATGTATGGCTTTTTGAAGAGAATCTTCTCTTATTTTTAAAGACTTTACATTTACAAACTTAATAAAATTCATTACAATTGCAGTACAAATGAGTAATCTTTTTCTTAAAATGGAAAATCCACTAAATTAGATCTTTTTCTCTTGATAGCCAGAAGGAAATTTTTCGCACATATAAAATAAAGATAGTGTTGGAAATACGAAAAAAAAAACTGTGCTTTCTTGTTTCAAGTAGTTCCTTTAGCAAAAGTTTAAATAAAGCTACTAAAAATTGTCTTCATTTTCATCCAAACGCCAATAAATATTTACTGGCAGAATTAGGATTTCAATCAAATAACTATACTTATACTCTATCTGTTCAATCAAAGAAGATAAACATCTATTTTGTTTTGAAAACAGTATTTCGGCCAATAAATTTTTTATTGGGAGAAAGATTTTTTTAATTCAAAATTTCTGTTTCGAAAAAATTAAACCTGACGCTGTGATATAATATATTTTTTGTGTCAATTTTTTTTTTTAATATAAGCGTGTTCAAACTGTAAAGTTTCACATCACTACATCAGTTTGTAAATTTGTGAAGCCATTTTCTTTAGCAAAAAATTTACGATGGTTTAATGTATTTAATATCTAGGAATGAAAGTTTAATGAGACAAAAATGTGTGTACATTTTTCCTAATAAATAAAAACAAATCAAAACAGAGGGTGACACCCTCGTTTCTTTGATAATACGTTTCGGTCAATTTTCTTCAGTCTTTGTCAAAGTTAGTGGTGGTGGTAGGCAGATTTTCCAGCTGAAAGAATTTCAAGTCCAGTTGGACAAAGCAAAGAAAGAAATTCGAGAAAATCAATGTTATGACGTAAAAATCACACAATACTTGTGAAGGGTGGTATAATGACATCTCGTTTCAAATAAATATTATCGTATTATCTGGGTCTTTTTCTCTCTAATTTACATGACCAGTTCAAGTTGAGTAATTTTTGATAATAATAGCATATGGAGAACTGGCCTATAGTTGTAATTGTTATTAATGATGATTACCTATACTTTGGTATGATGGAGAGTTTTATTTTTTGTTGCATTAGTGTAGTTGAGTCAATGTAAATGAATTTAATATTTAAACAAAGTGGAGAGAGCACTAGGCCGTATGCATTATTCCTGATTCACAACTATGTTAGTTTCACTTCCTGGAAATAAGCGAGCCACAATTCATTTCTTTATCAATAATCCGTTTATTGTAAAGCGGTGATGTTTCTAACAGTCAAATGACCTATCGATCAAGTTCAACCGTGGAAAGATTAAAAATTCTTTGCCGCCTTGTGAGATGGGTGGAATCTTCAATTTACTTACAGTGTTCTTGAAATAGATGATTTGTTTGAAACGGGTTAAAATTGTCGGCTTTTGTGTTAAATGACGTGGAAGAAATTAGTTTTGCAGCGCAAGCAAAAATATTAATTTAAGGAAATTTTTTACGTTCACTGAAAATGTACATATGCTTTGACGTGAAGTGAATGAATATGGTCCTGTATTCTTAAGCGGATGTGTTGTGCAAAGGGATGAAAGGCTTTTGCTTTGTATGAAAACAATGTAATTGATTGTGTAGATAATATTATTATACATAAAGAGAGTATAATTATATAATAAAGTTTGAGGAAAAGGGACGAGTTAGAAGAGAGTGCCCCCGTGGTGTTCGTAGTAGTAAGTTATCTGTTATCAAGCCGGGATAAAAAGATGAGAAAGTGGTATTAAACAGAGGGTAAGAAATGGTGCATCCAAGTGTGAGGTATATTTATTTGAGATCCGACGGCTGTTGTAAGTTTTTGGCGCGGCTGGATCCTCTTTTCATTGGCTATATTCGAGGCTAATTCCACACATTTCTCGGCTCTCACCTATTTCAGTCCACTGTTTCACTTAGTTCTCGTTCTACATCCATTTGTCTCTGTAATATATGTTGCTACCACAGCAGTTTCGATGTTATTCGTAGCATAATTCTTGAAAATGCCGCATTCATACTCACTTTGCAAATAATTACCCTATTTCCCAAGAATTTCGTTTGTTTGCCTAATTCTACCCAAACCTTGTTCTTTTAACACCCACCTCTCTAATTATTCCACCGCTAAAGCGCCGCTGTAAAACTTCCACCAAACTTTTATTCATGCTACATGTAACACGAGCTTCAATAGCTGTTACTTTTCAGTATTTTGCAAGAAAATTAACGAAAGTTTCATCAAAGTGTTGTATATTTTTTATGAAAATAAAAATATCTTTCTTTATTTGTTTCAATTTTTTCTTTTGCAAACTTTCTTCCACGTTTCTTTTATCGCTGACCAATTGATGAGAATTATTTTTCTGATTGTTCAGAAATAGTTTGAGGAAACTGTCGTAAGAAAGCGATCACGTGCCTTGAATTTATAAAGCTTTATCTTTTCTCAAATGAATTTAATCAAACTTTTTGTTGACGGCATAAGGAAAATGTTTAACAAGCGTAATTTTTAATTTTGTTTGTCTATATAAAAAAGAGAATTTAAATTGAAAAAGTGGCTTTTCTTGTATGCAAACAGTGATTTGTTTGAATGGCGGAAGACAGGATTTTTAGTAGAGCAGTGGAAGCGCCAAAATATTTTAGGTAATTTACAGCTTCCGAGTGGTTTGTTAAAAATAATAAGGCTATAAACGTAAAGAGAAATTTTAACAGGCATACTTTTCTTTGCTAGACTTAAATGAAGATGGCGGCATTTTGTTTTATGTATGGGATAAAAACCAGGTAAAACGGCTGGCTGTTTAAGAGCTGGCCGTTTTCTTTCTATTTTAAAAAATCCCGAATAAATAAAGGTTGAAATGTTTGAGTAAAAAAGATTTTTTCTGATTTTTCCTAAAAAGAAACGTAACATTCTGAACAGTGATGACATTAAATTCTCATGTATAACACAATTTATAAGGTAATTTCTCCAAATGGCATGTATAATACATATTTGATTCGTATATATCTAGGAAATGTTTCATGGAGAGCATGCGTGTGTAAAAAACGACATATGACAAGGCCATGTTTAATATCTTGTCAATTCTGATGATATACACGTGACACAAATCTGTTTCAATTTCATTAAGTCTTAATGGATATCGATGGAAATGTGTTGATTTGGTGTATTTTTTTCAGTATACATTTCGTGTGGTATTAGTTTTATGTTGTTCGTAACAGGGATCGGAAGATTTGTTTGTTTTTTATGCGTTCAAAGTGTGGTTCCTTAATCAAGATAATTGGTCGAGGGGTTTCGTTCAGATTGCACGATACGGAATGACCGATTAATTCTGTGGTGATGCATTGTCAGTAAAATGTTATCGAATGATTTCTAATTTAGGAAACAACGTTATTACAATAAAGACGCGACAAAGTCATAAAGATAAAATAAAGGCCGTGATCCGACGATGCTAAATTTTGAGTCGTGGTAATATAGTGTTTTTATATCGCCTTTGCGTATTTCGTTTCTATTAATATCCATAATGTTTTCATTGAAAACATTGTCGCTTCACAGATTTTATCGCTAAATTAATTGCAAATACAAATATTGCAGTTGTTGCATTGTCTGAGCGCAAAGGCAAGTTGTTTGTTTCATAAATAGTAATTAGTGGCGGAAATCACGTGTGGATTTGAGAGTTGAAACAAAGGAGGGAGTCGTGTTGTGCCATTGAGCGTGCCTTACCGAAGATGCGCTTTTCGAAGGCGAAGATCCACGCTGCGAGGACCGTAAAATAGCAGAGAAACGTCCACATAGTGCCGACTGCACCGAGTTACCACAGTGAAGTCCCACATGCCATCATCTCATTGCATCTTAAACCGCACTCACATATCAAAAACACCGGGAACAAGAACACATCTCTCGTATCGGATTAATTAATCAAGAATAAAATAGCGCGCTTCTTGTCGCATCGGGTCGCGTGTGCAAATGTACTGACGATTTCCAATATTACAAGCGAACACCAGTTGTGCGGACATCGCGTGGAGAGGGTAGAAACTAAATCACATAGCCGGCGGCTTTGCCGCCCCCGACTTATTCTCCCTCCTCGCGAGTGCAAGCGTGCGCCCTAAGACGCGTGGTTTCGCGCACCCTCGCCGCCACCAGCTCGTGCCCCGCGGATCTTTTGCGTAAACGAATCCGTGTTTCGGCACCGATTTTCAACTTTGTAAGTGAGATCGGCAATCGAGGCCCTCATAACTAACCCCCAGGTGTTCACACGTCGCCATGTTCGAGGAAATCCACTGTACTAAGCTTAAAACTTGAGCAGGGCCCACATGCTTTTGATATTATCCAAAGTCGCTCAATAAATTACACGATCCTAAGTACCAAAATCGATGGAAGATACTTTTTGTACCCTTCACATTTCAGTATTGTTTCAAAATAATTTATATTAACGACCGACTCTATAATAGCTCCCAGCTTGCTCATCCGTGTTTCTACTGCACTTTGCCTAGTAGAGAAGAAAAAGTGGAGCTGGAAAAGGAACGGGATCGAAAACATTTTTATTCCGACCCTCTCGGGTAAAATTGAATCAATTGGGGTGTTTTAACATTATGGTTTAGTTAGGTGGGGCATATCGTTCCGGTACAATAGATTGTTAAATTGCTTCAACTCGAGAGAGTTAGGTATCTTAGTTGATGTAGCAGCCGTAAAGAACTAACGACCTTTCTGTATGGATAATCCGCCAGTCTTCGCAGCACGGATTAAAGACACGACACTTTCATCTCAAATATATCAGTTTTTGCATTTTGGTATGAATTACGATTCCAGTCACAAACTTAAAATCTTGTAATTTGCGTTTTTGAGTGCAACATTTCGTATTCTCGTAGTTGTCGAAAACACGATTGAACTCTGTGTCACGCGCCTGGTTGAAAACGGAACAAGAGAGAGCAGCATCACTACGGGACGGCCAACGGGGGGCAGCGTTCAGGGCAGCCGTATTTCTGCCAGCGTACTCCCCACCGACATCCTAATAGGCTACGGATTTTTAACAAGGACCATCATTCAAAAGATAAGCTTGTCCTCTCATACCTGGTGCGAATAAATCACTAGTCTGCTCTTCAAGTTCGCGTATAACATTTTCTCCTATTAAGTCTTTGTTGGCGGTGCATCGTCGACGCCACGCATATAAATTCAAAGCGTGGTTCGTGATTTATGCACGCTGATTCGATGAAATTTCAAATACAGTGCAGACAGTTTTTTTTATGTATTTTAGTTTCAATTTCTAGGTGACGCGAATTGAACCTTCTTGAGTGGGGCGACGGCGACGGTTGCTCCAAACTCAAGCTGGTTGTCATGCGAAAGATTGTTCTCTCTAGTCCCGCGAGGGTTGACTTTCAACCTCTTTCCGAGGTTTGTCTGACTGCCTTCACTTGAATACTAATGTTCCAATTTTTCAAAATGTCATCTTGGAAAAATAAACAATTGGATCATTAATGCAAACTTCAACTTCCGCAGTTTGTACTTAAATTAGCGAAGATACGATTCAAAGCTCTCGTGTTTTTCACTATTCGAACTTGTTGGCAAACACGACTCAAATTAAAATGCGAGAAATAATAAGTTTAAATGCAAATTTTAATGAGTCTTGAGGACGAACGGAATTAGCATTGTCAAGGGGCGAGATTGTTAATTTTAGACAGGTTCGCAATCGGCAAATTCTCAAGAATCGAAGTATTTAATAAAATGGAATAGGGGTCTTTGTGTTGAATCGAGCACGAATCAACAATCGGTGATACAAAAAAAGGTCTGATGAAAGCTGAATGTACAGGAGGATATCTCTGACTTGTGAACGAACTGAGTTCCGAGTAATTATTGAAAGTCTGTAAATGCGCTGAAGCTCCGGAATATTCCTCGTGGCATCACAAATATGTGTTTAATGAAGATTGTGCATAATTAGAAACTCTACACAAATACTCTTCATAAATAGTGAACGCGTGTGTGGGACTAGTTCAGGATTCCGGTGGCGCAGTGACTAAGCTCATATACAAGTCCCATAAACCGACCCTACTTAATATCCGAACTGACAACCTTTATTATTTATTATATTATACATCACCTAAATTATTCTCGTACATCACTGTCAGCTTTAACAATCGCTATCTTAGCAAAGTCTTAGAGGGCATTAAGGTACATGAAGTAAAGACATTTTCTGTTTAATTTTTTTTATTATTTGTATGTACAGCAGAAATTTTCCTAAAAATTATAAATATCTTTACGTTCTAGACAAGTAAGTAATCACGCAGATGATTCTACAACTCGTCATCTTCAAACGACTGACTCTGGAAAAGTGCGGAGGTTTCGTCGAAACCCTGCAACACGGTATAGAAAATTAATAATTTTTAAGGGGAGTTTTTGCAAGAAAGATTGAAGCGAAGTGAACAGTATAAAGTAGAAAATGAATAGTTTGAAAAAGGGTCGACAACGAAGTGTCGTATAAATTTTGTGAGAATATAAATTCTGGATTGAATTGAGAGTGGGCGTGAGACATGAGAAGTAGCAACGGGCAACTTAGTGGCAATTCCGTTCGGGGAGAAGTACCATTTGTTGGACTGAAGAATTACAAAACGCAACGCGTGCGGCTGAAGGCGACGATTTAATAGGTGTATCGCGAATACTCACATAATCAATATTTGTCCTCGTCGGAACCGTGCACTGGTAGCAATCCATGTAAGAGACTCCACTGTTGAAAGCGGTACATTCACAATCGACACATTTTGTAGGTCGGGCAGTTTCCGCAACGCGCTTGCCAAATACGGTTGCGAATTTCTTAATGTTACCCCTCTTCTCTGACTGCAAGTTTTTGCCGCTGAAAACGGTTCCTAGAAACAACCAGAACCAGTTTAGTTACACGATGATCGCCAATACATCCATCTATCACTCAGTATAAGATGTATAGGTGGTGGTCAGGTGAGGACATACATTTGGATCCAAATTCAAGTAGCGTAAAGCACGATAGCAGAGTGCCTACCACGAATCTACTCAAGGTTATTTTTTATCTCGTAAACGGTTATTGGTTACATTGGAATAATTTCCGATATTAGTGATTAATTTAATAGAATCATAGCGTAATGAACGGTAATTCACATATGACGCCGGAAACAAGCTAGTATTCGTAAAGCGTGATGTGGGTGCACGATCAGAGACGGTCGGAATTTGCGAACTCGTAAATACCAGGTTCATTCTCGAGTAAACAGTTAAAGTGCGCGAAGCTCTCAAAATAAAGGAGAAAAGTAACGGCTTTCTTTAGATATCCATTAAACGTTGCGTGCATTTGTCGAAGAACCTTCGAATTGAAAATCCGTTGCAAGTTCTGTGAATACAAGACAAGAGACGGGTGACGTCGGTAGCCAACGAAGAACATCAGGTTTATCTCGGATCCTGACCGGCGGCGCGCCAAGAGAATGGCCCATTTCGGACTATATGTGCCATGGCATCGGATTCAGGACAGAGACAAACTTACCATTAGTTTCTAACGCCAGAGGCGCACAATAGCCTAGGGTGGATTTTGGAAGGCCGACCTGCTTTCGCAAAGCCACGTCACCTAGAAGTCCGTGAATATCCTTTTTTGAATATGCAGTCCTTCTGTCAATCCCTGAAACCAAAAGTGTAACTTATTTAATCAAATCAAAATTTTACTTCCAGACATTTTAAATAACAAATACCCCATTGAGTACAATTTGCACTAATAAAGTTAATATAAGATTTGAGGAATAAGTGAATTTATAGTTTACATATAGATAAGAATGTAGATTCGCCACACGTTAACGTGGAAAACAAGAAAAGGTCATTGTGTGTTAGCGAAGCTCCCGAATTTTATTTGGTTATTCAATAGTCTAGGCAGGAACAGTCGGTCACTTTCATGTTTCGTGTTTTATGCAATGGTCATTAAATCCTTTTCCTGATGTGCTTTGTAATGGAATATTAGCGGAATTCCGACAATCTTGTGTGAGTAAATTCATTATTATGAAGGTGACAGTAGTTGAGACGGCTTCATTGGACTGAAATTATTTGCTGGATTTGAAACATAATTTTTCTTCATATCAGTGCTATACAATAAATTTAAATAATCACATCGGGCTAAAGATAAAAACCAAGCAATATTCCGGATCACTGGAAATACCTTTCACGATGCTCAGCGTTTCGACATTTCTTTGCGTCTATCTTTATCAATTATCAAGAGCGCGATTGAAACTGACAGTTGGATTGGAACAGTTCCAAATTCGACAAGTTCGAGGCTTTTTTTTCAGCATTTTACCTATTCAACGTACAATGTGTTTCACAATAATGCTATACTTTCAATTTCCCGACTCTTCAAAACTTTACTTTTAATTAATCGCTCTATCTGTTTTCAGTTGCGGTACAAACGTAATTTTAAAATTGATTTCATTAAAAAAATAGGAATTTTTCAGAGAAATAATTTAAATCAACTATAAACTCAACGGGGAAAACCGTATCTACCCAGTTTGCTTAATAAGTGTATATATTGATTTGAAAATTGTGAATTGACTACTTTCTAAAGATGTGGAAACAGATATTACCACTTAGAAAAAGCTATATTTGTTCGATACTACAAGTTTTCCGACATTAATTGTGAGGTGTGTTTGTCGTGGCATAAAAATGTCAAACGTTTAGATCTGCCGACTGGAGAAGAGATAGAATAATAGTTGTGTTTTTCGCTTTTTGCGAGCTGGGCTACGAACCATTTTCAACCGCAACAACCTTGCCTGCCCAACCCTGTCAGTTTCCCCACATTATACATTGTGGATGAATATATTAACTATTGTGGTTTAAGTCAACATTTGTAATAGCGGACGAATGACGGTCGGATGCATTGGTGTATGGCATATATTACGTATAGCCAGCCAAAATTATAGTGTACGTAGGAGACGCCTAGTTATCGAGTTTATGCGGCTCTATCAGATAGTCGACGCTTACCTATTCCGTTCAGAACCTACTACAAGCAAACTTTGGTCGGAATTCTGATACTAATTAATTAGTCAAGTTACGTTATCAATTATAATCCGGAAAAATTCAAACTCGAATCTATATAATCACATCATCTGATATAAGTGCAAGCCGCAATTCTTCCACGCTCGTTTCAGAGATTTACCGACTGAGTCCGCATGCATAATGCAGGTGAACCGTTGAAAACTGCGCAAATGTGGTTCCAGTTACAGGTATGAAGATGAAATTAATATTTTTTGACGGTAAAGCTCAAAAGTCCTAGGTATTTAACAGCGCGTATATACATTCAAACGAACACAACATGCACTAAACCAAATTATTTCATATGCAAATTTATTAATAACGTCGCGCACTCTATTATTTTCCATTTACACACAGACTACACAACAATAGATTAACAGCTTCCCAACACGCAGCTTGTGTCGGAGTCTCAAATCTTAGGACGCGTATCATGAAATGTAATGAATTCGCAAGATATAGAAATTGGCCGCCGCTGGGCCATTCCAAAGATACCACAGGGTCACATTTTGTAATGCGAATAGAGCAGCACGTGCGCGAAAAGTGTGGATTACCCGAGATTGCTATTTATTTACAGTATCTCGCAAAATCAGACACACATACGCTGAGATTAAATCTGTGCTCTTCCATAATGAACATTTTATAACTCTAGGGGGCGGCATCATGTCTCGCAAAAATAACACATTCAGTGCATCCTAGTCTGTACAGAATAACATCCGACGATAACACTGCAATTCACATAACCGAAATTTTCTATTCGAACAAAAGCACTCTCTGTTAACATTACGTTTAATATAACTGCTCAAAAGCTATTTGAGAACATCTCAATGGCATGGCCACTTTTTTCACACAATACTTGAAGTCACAATGTTTGACTTCTTTGCATATCCATTACAATCCAGCAAACGCCGAATTTCAATTTTGAAACTTCCATAACCAAAAGCGATGAAACGACTGTCATCTTGAAAAAATCTTGCATTTTTTTAATTAATAATTTTAATATCTGCTACGGTTAGCCCAGGCGTAAACTTATCCGACATTGTGTAAAAAGCTATAACTAAAAAAATAAAGAATACATCTTTTTTTTAACCTTCAACATTCCGCTTTCGCCTACGAATAATAGAAAAACTCGTAATAAAAACAGTATAATTTTTTATAGGATCTAAGGCAGAGCGGTTATTTTAAGTTACAACATTGAATTAAAAGCCCCCAGAAATTTAACAAAAAAATTAACACATCAATAACTTTTTGCAAGTCATAACCTAAACTTTGCTAATCTAAATGACCATTAATTAAGTCAAATGTTAAAAATGGTGGATGCGAGAGCACACAATGTAATAAAAAGCTTTTTACTTAACAATGAAAGAACAACAACTGTTTTATTTGAATAAAATAAATAAAGCTTTATGTAACTTTAGACTATTACCACTAATACTCTTACACAGTAAACATAATGAAACAAGTAATGACATCGGTAAATTTCTGAAGCTACTGAATTTCCAGTGTGTAGTGCTTTATTATTTGAATTGAATTATTTTGACAGTGCTACTTAAAATGAATGTTTAGTTTGTATAGTTTGACAGCAGTACAAGTATATGATTCTAAATAAATAATTCCGTCCACAAAGTGTTTCAGAATTATTTAGTATCAATTTAAGCATAAATAAACTACTATTAATATGTACAAGCAGCGGCCTTATGTTTTTAATTCACGTAAATAATTCATTTACTTGTTATATATTAAATAGGACATAGATTTTTTAAATTTATATGATTGAATTTTGTTATCACATTAATCGCATATGTGTGGGAATAAATCAGGGTAGTGGCAGGTCGAAAATTTGCATTGGGTTGCAAATGCCGTCCTGGGCAGGTGTACGTGGCGTCGTATATATTTTGGAAAGTTCGAATTACGATTTGTCGGCTATTTAAATTCAAAGCTTTAGCAATCGAAATTAACTTTCTTCGAACACGAGTCGTTTAAAATAAGCGTGCAAGCGAACACTTACCGAAAGGAATATCCCGTCGCTTTTGTAGAGAAAATTCTTCGTTCATTAATATGTGTAGGGTGATATCGTTCTCTGACAGCGACTGGTGTAGGCTAGCATAGTCGAGCTGAAAAGCAATTACAAAATAACTCAGTGTTATACCCCACTGTCTTGTCTCGAGCCAGCGATTTGGATTAAGGCCAGTGTGGTCGGGGCAGATTTAGTGGACTCCTCCACCAAACAGGGGCCACTGCATCGACTTGACCTGATCGTTCTGCACGCGACACGTACGCGACCTATTCACAATTTTAAAAATCGGCTCCGATGCACTTGCTGCCACATGCAGGACCCACTGTCCCATCTCCAAATTGGCTCTTATTATCGATTCGTTATCTTGGTTTTCTTACCCTCATATTGTATTCTTTGCATTCTGAACATGGAATTAGGATGAAATTTTTTGATATGCCTGGTCTAAACAACAGTTCTCTTGCAAACGCTATTGCGTCGAAAATATCCAAATTCCCGTTACCTAAACCAAACGACACATTGAATAACATCGAATCTGTTTTTTCTATTTTCACAAAATAAATTTAAATCAACTTCACTCACCGATCGGAATTGAATCAAAATAGGTTATTATTTGTTGAGCTTCGACGAATACCTTGTTGTTGACTACTAAATTACGCGGTTCATCAAATACATCATCTCCACCAAATAACACAATGGCGTATCTATTATCGGTCAAACCGTGAAGATTTAGTTCTTTGTCTAGTTGTTCTGTGATTAAATCAAAATGTTTCTTTGTTCTTAAATTTTTGTTACATTCTTTTGCTTCAATTATAAAGACGGTGTCGGCGCTTTGAGGTAAATTTGAGCCTTCTAAACGAATTGATACACCTTCGGGTATTTCAGTTCCATTTGGTGTAGTGCATTTAACACAAACATCGGGAATTCGTAGAGGTGTATTGGAATAAGAACATAAACTGATATAGGCCAAAGCCACAGAACACGCTTCTTTCTCGTTTGTGCTATTTAGACACATTGCCACAAATGGATCTTTAGAAATTCTCGGGAAACATGTAGTCAATGATGATAATTTACTAATGAAAAACTCATCGCAAAGACTTTCGACAGCCGAATTGAGACGAGATCTTGTATTCATGTTATTCACATTGCTGGTGCATTTCTTGAGAGCCCAGCTATTCGTAAACGTCTGTAAATCTTTCGGTTTAGCTTTTACTTTTTGTGAAGTCAAGAAATCATCAGACGGTTCGTTATTCATGGTACCCCAGAGTCCGGCTGTCTTCCCAAAGTACCATCCTGAGAAAAATTGTAGGGCAATTTTCTCGAGGAATAATAACAATTGAACTTACCCGATAGTTCGAATACGCAAAGATCGAATTTCAAGTTACATTCGAGAACGAAATCGTTTTTGCTTACTGCTGTAAAGACGTCGGCTTCGAGGAATAGGGACGTGTCGCCGATTTGTGTTGGCAAAGTTATTCCGTCATTGCCGATTTTGACACTCTGAAAACCAAAGAGGTCAATTGGAGTAAATAGAAGTAGCGCATTGTAGCGTTTCACCTACATCTGTGAAAACGTTAACGTGGACAACCGTGTTATTGATCAGGAGTAACAGTTCGTGGATTTTAGCACTGTTATCGTAGGAAACAACAACAGAGAAATTGCGATCGACGTAATCTGTCGCTAAAAGATATGAGCAACTTCCGCGGAAATCGTAATATCTCCTATCGAATGTCACATAATATCGCGAACCAACTAGCATAGCTTGCGCTGCAAATAAAGTTTTGTATTGGACACGTTTAGCCAATTTGCTGATGACTGACCTTTAAAGGGCGGTAGCCAACTTGAAAGTTCGGTGTAAGGCTTGTAGTCGTAATAAAAGTCCCAAAAAGAGATACGGGTACTTAAGAGGTAATTCTGTATGTTATAAATTGTTTGTAGTTCGGGAATTTCCTGAGAAGAAAAGTTCATTAAAACGAAAACGTGTGATATAAATCGAATCTTACTTGAAATTTAGGAGTTTCGTTGAAAGCATGCCACGACATGGGCAATTTTTGTTCCAACAACATGATTCCCTCGGATGGTTCGAATATAAATTTCGTTTTCGCCACACGGTACCTGAATATTACATGAACATTGTAAGCACTTATTTTACAAAGTAAAATTGTCTTGTACTTGCCTGTTTTCAGCTTGCAGTGCCGTTAATGCCATATCAGAAAGCTTCTGGTGCAGGAGTGCAACGAATCGATGCACCCTATTTTCCACGTCGAAATAGTCATACAACCATTTTACATTATTGTACCATACGTCATATTTTGCTAGCAGGAATTGGATCGATGGTAGTTTTTTCAGTTCGTTTAATTCGTTCACTATTTCTAACACAACTTCTTGTAATTCTTTACCGAATGGCACCATATTGAAATACTTCTCTTTCAAAAAGTTCCAAACTATTTTCGTATATTTCGTGATGCTAGCTATTGTGTTATTTCCAGTAATGTCTTTGTAAAATCGGTCCATATCGTGTGTAAAATTTGCAAATTTAACGAAATAGGGTGATTCGATTAATTCACTTTTACGGATGTATAAGAAATCCAAGAATTCACGACTCGTAGTCCATGCTATTGTTTCCAGATAGTGTATCAGTTTTATAAATGTTGGCTCTATTGCCGCTAGTGTTTTATGCCAATTGCTAACTATTAAAGCGTACGTTTGTGACCACAGTTGTTCCATATATTGGATAAAAGTAACGTGCAAATCTTTGATGAAAGCATCGTATTGCTCCACGATATTTTTAAAGGCATCTGAAAGGTGATCTATTGGGTCGCCGTCCAACAATCCTCGAATAAAATCGGCCGTATTCTTGTAATACGTCTTAATCTGCGTTATTGAAAAGAAAACGTTAATGGTATAAACGATTCTTCCATTTTACAAAGTTAATGCTTGTCGTAAATTCCGTCGTTAAATCTGAATTGTTCTGAATAAGAACTTAATAAGTCGAATGGACGGAAAAAACACAGACTCTAAGTAATGCAAGTTTTATTGTGCTAAAACAACTTTGTAATGTATTCGAAGCAACTAAATAAAAACTAATAAGCAGATTTTCTGTTTAACGCTTTGATATCAAAGAAGCGTAACAGCTGGACATATCGTACAGAACGTAAAATAAATCTTGCTGTTAACGCTTTGCGCAATTTTTAAAACTTTATAACCCAAGCTTTGCAAACAGAAATGTTTATTTAATTTTGTAAAAGCAGGTATAAAAATGGTGGATGCGCCGGGCAAACCACTAAAGTCATAATGCTTCTGACATTAAAAACATATATTTTAACTAAAAAAAGTAAATAGTTACTTGTGAAACAATAGTTAAATAACTTAATTAATAAAAATAAATTAACATTTTTTTAATAAATTAATTAGCTCATTTTTATTTGTAACGTTTTAAAATATCTAAGAATTGCAACAGCAATCGTAAAGAACGTGAAATTAAACCGGGTGTTCAATAACGCTGAAAGAGGAATCTAATATTTCCTGGGATTTATTTTGCCGCCATTTTTTAGGCTACTTTCACACGAGCGAATTTGAATCACGCGATTGTGTTATTATAATAGTTTTTGCTTTTTACTCGAACAGTAGTTAATATCGGCCTGGTGTAAGAATCCCAAGTAGGAAATCATGTTTAAAATGAAAATGTTCAGTCTAGTGTGGCGTTAGAAGTGATAAATATGGATCATTTTGAGAGGAGAATTGCATTTATTTGTTTCGTACATTTTGCAGTTGTAAAGAGGAAATGAAGTAATGTTGGGGAAGACGGTAAACGAATTCGCTTATTCGAAAGCGTTTTTATGTTTGTATTTATCGTTCAGTAACAGCCGCAGTTGAATGGATGGACACGATTTTTGTTGTTTAATATCAAAAAGAACAATTTCGACTGAAACTGACTTCATAATGTTTAATAACCGCAAATGGTCGTCGCGTTTTTCCAGTGCTGTCGTAAATCTTACGCACTGTTCTAAATAGAGAAATATCGTGCTCTTAACGAACGACGCAAACAATAAAACAAGAGCTTAAAATTTTGTTTTTTACCTTTTCAATGACCCACTCTATACTTTTCTTGATTTTTGTTCCAGACTCGCCCATAATTTCCCAAATTTCTGAAACTATAGCCGGAAGAGACTCAAAGTGTTTTTTTAGTGCTAATTCATCGAACATCATCATTGATATGTTTACGATGTCTTTGATATAAAATTCATTGGCGTTGTACGATTTGTTGAGGAAAACCTTGAATTCTTCAAAATCGTTTTCAATGTCTCTGAGTCCTCTGAGATCCTCCAAAAAGTGTTCCACTAGCGGTTTAGCATCGTCCCAGATGCCATGAATGGCGTCGTTAGTTTCGGATCTGACGTATTGTTTGGTGTTATTAATTTCCTCCAGCATATTGTTATATAATTGCTTAGCGGAGTATCGTATACCATTCTATAATAATCACAAAATAAATAGTTACACGTGCTGTTGTACACCTGTGCGTATTACCAGAATATCGTGTTTGAGGTCCGGCCTCCACAACAAACTGGACATGATAAGTCTGGAATGATTCAAGCGGAGATAATACGCAACGTCCGAGACCCTAATGTCCTGGTAATCACGCCAGACATCAAACATGGCGCTTCTGGCGTCAGGAATCACACCGTACACATGAAGACTCTGGCTTCCATCTGAAATCAGTAAAATAAAATTATTCCGGGCGACGGAGCGCCGGAGGGAATGTCTTTTACAAAACTTTACTATTTTTCGAATTATTCATACCTGTAGTCATGTTAAAGTCAAGTTGAACCAACTTTTCTTCGAAATTGAGGTAAAACTCTCCTGAGGCATTGTTCATCTCGTGGCTTGCTGATATGTTTGCTGTGTAAGTAGGGAATTTTCCCCCATATCTTGTCCACAAATATGACAATTGATCGCTGGCTTTTTTCTAAAAATTTAAAAATATTCCCATTTGGAACGTTTTAAAGAAGATCGTAATGGAAACGACCATCCTTAGAATATTTTTACGAACCTTTAGTTCTATTTCGTTGCGAGTCAAATCTACACGAGCCAATGCTTCTGCTGTTTGTAAAGGCAGATAGGATCGCTTGTAGTGGCTATAATGACCAGTGCTGTACCCATAGGGATTCCAGTAAAAACCTCCATGTGTATTTAAATTAAGGTTGGTAGCATCATGTGCAGCCCACACTTTATAAGAATAGTTGTATGAGGCAGGATAAGAGTTATCATCGACCCGAGCTCCCATAACGAGTCTCTGTTGTGGATCAGGCGAATAATCAACAGTTAATTGGGTATCTAAGAGTTTTTTCTCGTCATATTCATATTCCCCGAAGAAAGTGATATCCTGTAGAGAAAATCTCTCAAAATGGATAATCGACAATGATTAGAACTACCTTTGTAAATGAAGGATGTTTGATTTGAAATAAAACTTCCTCGCGGTGCAAAGCAGCCCGTTTCCAGTCAAGGCCCGCTTGCACTTTTTTCTTATTTTTCTCCCAGGCTAAAGAGACATCTGTAGACAGTGACGAGTCACTTATGTTATAAAAACCCGTTGCAGTGAAACTTCTGCGAGGGTAGGCCACGTCTATTTGTACTTGCTGGGAACCGAACACTTCATTCTGTGTGAAAGAGATATTTCGATCCCGTAATAGGTTTTGAATGAATGAGTGCTTTATGACATTTATTACCACAGTTCTGTTGAGTAGTAGAAGATCGTATTCAATCCAAGCAGAAGAACTCAATTCAAGACGCGAGTGCTGCTTGAATTGTTGCTCTAACACATCATAGTCAGTATACAACTTAACTGTTCGGTTTGAATGGATAGCTGAAAATGCTATCTGTCGACCAGTTGAACTTGTTCGCACGTTCATTTCTCCCGTTAGGTTGAATTTTGTCCGATTTTCTAAGTGATAAAGATGTAAATGTTTTGTATCCTGCAAAAATTACGTTTTTATTACTTTTAAATGGGGTACAAGCACCACCGAGAAACAGCTTTATGGATGGACACTTGCCAACAAGCCTTACTACCATGAAATGTAATTGCTCGCTCGTGTAGATGTATAAACGTAAAATTTAAAAAAAAATAGATCAAATTGATAGGATTCGGTCGAACAGTTTCTAATATTTATACGTGTTCATAACTATTCTCGCCACTCGTACTAGAAGAATCGCCGACAAAATTCTCTGCGACATCGGAAAATCAGGAATCAAGAAAATACCGCTTTTTTGTTTCGACATTTTTCTTACAATTTCCACACACCAAGAACAATGAAAGAAAGAATTCTGCGATATGTCACTTTTTACGATTTCTACACTGAGACGTTTTCTCACATGAAAATATTTGTGTTAGTCTTTGGGAATATAATATTCAAGCAGTAAATTAATCAATCTGTTTCGCCTTAAATTATAAGGTCGTACATAACAACAAGTGGTTCCTTTCTTAAATTATTAAGTGGTCGGTTTTAAGTAAAGGGTCTCCTGTAGTCCACAGTAATTATTTATTTAAGAAAAGTTTGGTGCTTAGGTGAGGCCCTGATGTAATGCATGCTAATGTTCACTTGAAAAGATTTTATTTGAAAGTAGGTTGATGCACAATTACATCGGACATGCAGTATAATGACAGGTCGGTAGTCGCGTGTAGTTGTTGAATTTAGTTGTAAAATGAGATAGTTTGTGGGGTCTTCGTTGAAAGCGTTGTCTAACGATAAAGTGTTAGCGGTTACAAGTTAACAGTTTGGTTTGAATGGATCATGCTTAAATTTGTGGTGATATCATCGCCTTTATCCTATTGTCAGGTTTTGTGATGACATAGGTGTGCATCCAATGATGAAAATGTGTTCGACTTAATTTTATTGAATGGCTGTACTATGAAAAACATTTGTCGGTTCTAAAAGTTTAAATTGGTGATAATTCACATCCTGGTGGATTAGGGAGAAATCGCAATCTGCCACAAGCTAGAGCGTGCTTATGAGTTGTGTCCGGCGACCGTTTGTTTTTCTCGGCTGGCTCATGTTTCAAACGGGCGAATGGATAGCCCAGCACGGCTCACATTCATCACTCGGGATATATACCAAAGTTTAAATCAATAGCGTTTCGTGTATGCACTGAGATAGATATATAGCCATATTGAGTGATGGAGATAAAACTATCAAACTCGTCAGCAACGCGAAAAACGTTCATAAATAACTGAAGATGTGAAAACCAGTCCGAGTAAGTAATTTCAATTAGGAATCGATTAAGACCGACACTTGAAAGACAACTGTTGATTAGACGAAGAACAATTTCTGTCGGTACTAAGATTCGTAATTTAAATCGATCAATAGTCGTATAAAACGCGAAATAATGAAACCAATGGCGGTCAGCAAAAGAGATAAAGAAGGCCGCATTGTGGTTTGGAGTACAAAATCGGGTCGGGGGTAAGGACTATATAGTAGGTAGGGAAACAGCGCCGGGCGGCTATAGATTACGGTGGATTTTATAGGAGTCGCTGATTTATTTGATGCACCCACCACAGTCGGAGTGTTGGAGCCGTCCCTCGGCGCCCCGTATTCGTATCCGTGAACATAGTCTGCCCCGACGGGGACCAACTTGTTCTGCACCTCCACGTGGATCCTATCCTTATCGAAGCCCGCCCGTGCCTCCGACTGGCAATTATACTTGCCTTCCAGGACTTTGTTTCCGTTATAGTCGACCGTGGTGTAGCCCGTGTTCAACCGAGGCTTTTCCTGAAACACCGTTGAGAATACAACAGAACAATAACTTTGATAAAAAAGACAGTTCCAAATTGGAAAATTACAGCTCCCTTGCCCGGCCAGGGCCTAACTCAACCTAAATTGCGACCGTTCCACTATCAGTTCACTCACAACTCATTATACAAACTCTTCCAAATAGAACAAAAGATTCCCTTTTCTCTACTCTCTCTTGATTTTCCCTACCCTATTTGAAGAACCTCTTTAAATCATTAAGTATTTAACATTTTGCGACGATAAATATAGAAGTTGTTTTAAATTTAGCAGCAAAGTCAAGAAAAAACTTAACTAGGTGCAACTATATTGGAGACTCACCTCATAGTTAAATTGAATGTTAGCTATGTGTCTTGTCGTTAGAGGCACTTCAATTACCAGTACACCTGTTGTATTACTTTTGAGCACGGAAGCTGTAGTTTCCCTAACACACTGACAGTCCAAAATTGCATTATCATTAGGCCAGAATACTTCCAAATGTCGATTATACAAACGTCTGAAACAAAGGCAAAATAGCAATAATTTACAGTTAGTTGTTAGTGTGCAAGCCGACAACTAGCGGCATTGTAGGAAACGAACTTTCGCCGAGAAATACGACTTCCATCTCATCTTGAACATTCTAGCCACAAACAACAATTACTTACGCATTAGTTTTTGTGTTAAAATGGGCTCCGGCATAATGAACCTTTCCAAAAGGAATCGTCACATTAACAGTTCCGTTCATATTCCCTAATCCATTGTAATCAACTTTAGCAAATGCAAATGATTGTTTTTCGGGATAAAACGCCTCGCATCTATAAATAGTGTTTGATTTATTTTCAATTATGTACACCGATACATATCCGGTTACGCCTTACGTGATGTTATGATATGTATCTGAGCTGCTGTAGCTCATTTCCGTAACAAGCGTGTCTTTATTGTCAAACTTGGGAGTCCTCAGTTTGTATAGAATGTTCCAAGTATTTTGTGACCTCCACAAGTCCAGGTAATTGTTAATACATTTGTTATTCCACTCCAATTCTACATTTCCTCCCATGCGTGTCTTATCAGCTAACGAGACCTGAATACCGAAGCTATCTCAATCAAACTTATTATCTTCTCTATCTGAACTTACGTTTCCCCAAGATCCGTACCTCTTCTTTGAATTGGCTGTACGATATTTACCTAAATATTCAACGGTCCTCAAATCCTTATCGTAACGTAACTTGCCTGCCAAACTATAAACTTCTTTAATGGGTGCAGGGAGCTCCACATGAGCTTCCAAATTCATGTTCTGGTAATTTGGCAAAGATAAGGTTACGTTGGAACCAACCCTAAAATCCACCCTTGAAATTTAACCATAATTTAACAAATTAATCAATACATACGACCACAACTTGTCCACGTTCGCGTTGCCTCCCGCTTTAATAAATTCAAACGACTGATTTGGATTAATATAAAACCCTTCCAGTCGAGACTGACTCTTATATTGGCGATTTTCATAATTTCCAACAGCTTTAACATACATATTTTCCAAAAATACATAAATCCAGTCAACTTGGATATCTCCCTTGGCATCAGTTACTTCAAAATAAGCTCGACCGTAACGCTGCTGGCCCGAAGCTCTATAAAAATTCCCCTTTTCAACACCAAAGAATAAAACCAATTTAAACGATTACAACAAATAACTATTTTGAATTTAGTTTTTCAAGAAACGAAATTACAATTTCGTGTCAAAGATTTAGGTCGCATGAAACAAGCAAATTCACTTCGAGTGTTGATGATTTGTTGTAGTAGGAGATGCTGGTTTTACGGTGCGTTGTCCTAAATCAGCCGTAATAAATGTCTCTTTTTGCACCTGATGGTAACGTACGTAGCCACTTTTAACAATGCCACTGAGTTAAGGCTAAAGTATTGGAAGCATTTAATTCTATCACCGTCGCATAGCTATACAAATGTTTCGCAAGCACACAAAACTTAAGTGAAAAAATGCGCCAAGTAAATTGTTGTCATTCTAAGCAGAACGTTGATTTAGTTATTTTTTAATACCCGATGGTTGATAAATTTTAAAAGTGGGTTAAGAGCCACAAAATGCAAATGCATTTTAGTCATTGAGCAATGGCTACGTAAGGCAGGAGTAATAAAAATGGGTAATTGTCGTTACGAGGTACTTTTAAAGTAGCGAAAGATACATTGTGTTCCATAACTCAAGTGCCATAAGAAAATTCACTAAGTGAAAATCGTCAAGAAAGAAAGCAATACCCGGGGGGGTCTGCATTGAAAACGCTGAGTCATACTGACTATAAACAAGCATCAGCCATTAGAGGCCTTGTTGAAAGTTCCACAGGATTCGTAGGATCGTAGCGGATATTTAGAGGGAATAAAAAGTGGGAAAAATAAAGTCATTTTTTTTTCAAAACAATACGGTGCCAGATGTAAATTGATACATAAAGTATTTACGGAAATTGTAAAAAATTCAAATGATGATTATTCTCAATTTCAAAGGAAAAAAGAGAACAAATAGAAAGAGTAGATTAAAGAAGAAGACAGTTGCCGTTGTTGTCTACAAATAAACACCAACACTTATTAGAATTAAGATGAAGTTTTGTTGATAAAAGAGCTTAATTAAAATGTTGGCCTAGTTTTGTGAGAAGCGATAATAGTCTCATACGTGGTTAGTGTTCACGTTTCCGGAAAAGTCGACTTTTCTTTTTTGTATTTTTTTGTGTTTAATACTTAAATCACTCCTTTGGGAAGTATACATTAGTGCATGCGTTTAAGAAGGGGACGGTTACGGCGCTGTTAACCTAAGCCATGTTTATTTTTGATTATTTCTAGTTTTATTCGATAGAATATTTTAGGAAAAACCGACGATGTTCGTATAGTCGCGTTAACATGAATGAATAGATTGGATATTATCGGTAATTCATAAAGAGGAAAAGTTTGCAGTTAATATTTTACATGTGACGTATCTTTATGTGCTTTGTCGTTCGACGTGGAGTGGCGTACGGTAGAAAGCGATGAAAAGTGAGCGTGCTGTAGTTTCCAGACTCCGGGCGTTGGGGATTGTTTAAATCAATCATCTTTTTACCGTATGCGACAAATTGTGAGGTTATATGTTACGAGTGGATGTTTCGGCTTAGAGCACCCCCCATTTTATCACCACGCACAAGGGTATGAACGATACTACCGTACAAGCCATCATATATTTTACACGATTCTGACGTAAAGCCGCACCATTATAAGAAAACATATTTGTGTAGCATCGATTTTTCAATTAAACGCTATCTCAGGAATAAATTTTCTTCAAGTAAAATTATAATAAATTAAATGGATTTGATAATGTCTTTCAGAGCGATACAGTCGATTGCATTAAGCAGGCAACTTACACAACAGAAGCTCCCAACTTCGGATTTTCGAGCTTTAGGATAGGAGTTCGAGCAGCTATTGAAATGCTAGTGCCGGCACCGGTCGATGTTGCATTTGCTTGCACTGTAAACTTGTTGTACAACTGATGCGACGTATCTACCTACAATATAACGAACATCAAAATCACTGATTTTCATTAATTTACAATTCATTACTTTTAGATCAATCTGCCAGTCAAATTTACGTCGAGATAAGATATTTGCCTTAAATCGAGTGAATTTATCCAAATGTTGCGCACTTCCAGCTAATATATAACTCCCTTCCTTTTGGGCCTCCAATTTGTATTCGAAATTCAGCGAATCGCTACCATCTTGAGGAGTCAACTTGATTTGGACGTTTACAGGGATTTTTCCTAACATATTCGCATGACCGTTAAGCTGAAATTCTTTATCTTTCAAAAACAACGTTCCATCAAACTCCTTCAAATTAATCGAATTTTGGGACACAGTACCCCTCAACGATATCGGAAACCTTTAAATGCAACATTTTATAATAAGAAACTAATTAAATTTCCGCGATAATTACTTTTTGCCATTGAAATTAATATTTGATGTCGCCCCAAAAACGTTTCCTTCGACCGTTGAATTTATATTGATCTCCAACGGATGCATTCTTATCAATGCCCAACTATACATTCCTTTCTCCGACATATCTACTTTCACACCCACTTTGGAATCTTCCATCCCCCTATAAGGCGTGTCCAAAAACACTATCGCGTGGAATTGTTCTAACGATTTATACATCCAATGAGTTTTAAAGTAAATCTGCAATTTTCAAGTTTAAATTCGTCGTTAAAACTTGTGACTCAAGAAGCGTACCTGTTTCTTGAGCAGTTTTTCTATATTTATTTTTGCTTCAACAAAATTGTCAATTAGGGTAGCTTCTTTTTTGAGTTCAATAATTGTCGGTGGTATTTCCAAAGATGGAGTTTTAGCTTTAAGTAAAACAGTTGCATCGAATAAGCCATTAAATACCTGAAATTGTACGCGATTTGGTAACGGAGACTTAATGGAAGTTGCAATTACTGGGATGCTCTTAAGGGCTGTCCGGTGTAGTTTCAGAGAGCCTCGTTGGTGACTAACCACGAGGGTGTGAGATTCGATCCCGGTATCATGATCGCGATCACGGTTGCGGTGAACTCACATAAGCTATGTAAATATGTGCGCATACATCTAAATAACTTTGGCATATCGAGTTGCGAAATAGACATAGCGAGTGAATTGTTTTGGCCAACGCCGATACACACACTTTTTAAAGCTCTCGAGAAACTCCACAGAAGCCGAGTGCATTCCGAGTTTAAATTGACATGTCCAGATCGGAATTGAAAATCATGTCTTTCGCTGAGAGTTCACTTGTTTACCTCTGTTTTCGTAGTCACTGATATATTACTACTATTTGTAGTCACTGATAAATTGGTCAAGTATATGTTAACTTGTGTCTCGTGACTCGCGTGGACCAACAGCTGGGGAAACTTTTCCAAAGGAGTGTATAGTTCGAGTGTTGTGTTGTATCTTATTGCTTTGTCCTCTTCCCGGGAAATTGTGTAAAATACAAAGACACCAGTCTAAAAAATGGCAAGTTTAAACGAGTTCAATTGGATATTCCTTTATCATTACCTTAATCCAACGAGTGTGGTTCTGATAATCCAGATCTAGACCCAGTTCGTATTTATGTTCGGGGATTATCTTCAAATTGTAGGAAGAAGTAATGATTTTAAAAGTATCGTACGGTGTTGTTATTTTAAGATCATTTTTCATTGTCAGTACGTCCTGAAATTTGAAGGATTAATTATGGGCTAATGGTGTAGCCAAGTATTTACAATAAATTCAAACACGTCGTTGAGTGTAGCGTTACCAGCTGGGAGGGATAATGTGGCATCTAAAATGTACAGTGGTCCTTCTTGATCAATATCCAACGTTCCTTCCATCGTCGGATAAATAATAGCATCGATTTTGATGCTACCAGTCCAATTAAGACTATCCTCTTCCTCCTGGTCATCTTCATTTTTGTGTTCTGACCAACTGCGATCCCCTAACCTTTCCCCATAAATATCTTCACTCTTGATTCCCATCTCTTTCAGAATCTTGCGTTTCGGTATACAGAGAAGCGCTACTCCTAACTGAAAACACATATGTAATGTATATAGAATATTCTGGTAAAATCTATAAACGTTTTGCGAGGTGAAAATTTGAAAAGTCGTTCGCGAAGGAGCTGCAGCGTTACATTTGAAAAAAAAAAAACAGATAGACGACGCTTTCGCATGTATACAATTAAAGATGTAAGGGAGAAGAAAATTTTCCCTCTACCATATTCAATAAGTTCAAGTATCGGTATTTTAGATCTGCTTAAGTATTTTTCTTGATGTGGTCTTGCCGTTTCGATAGCGTAAATGATGAAGCGTCAAAAGTAAAAGCAAGTGATATATTGATGTTTGCTTATTAGAGGGTGTGAATAGACAGTGGGGTGCGTAAAGATGTGCCAGATCGTAACGATAACCGTAATGAGATGTATTACACGTGACTTCGACGGCAGCATTCGGCAGTAAAATAGCGGCTTTGGCAGCCCAAGATCTCGGACTCAGATTGCAGCTTTCACTTTAAACGCGGTCGATCGATAAGCGACACCAGCAAACTTTGCGAATGGATGCTTCTCAAAACAGCACGGATATCCGAGCATTACTCAATCTAGGTGAATTATAAATCCTGTCGCTCTATAGATGAAAGATTGGTATTCCGTAACACATATATACAAACCTTGTGCTGGGATAACTTGATGGAAACTTCAAAGTCTAAGCCTTCTTTGAATATGAGTTTAGAAACGATACCATTTTCTTCAAACCTTTCGATAGGAGTGTAAATCTTATATGAGTATTCGAAGTCTATGACGTTTACATAATGCCAGACACCGGTGAATCCCAACATCAGCGAATTCCAACGTGTCCGGAAATCAGCCTACAACATTGTAGCAAAATTACAAAACTCATCCTTTAACACAACTATTTGTTTTTTACCCTGTCGGGCTTTAGTTTTCCCACGATCAAAATTTCCTGCAAAAACGAGATTGGAGTAGCCAGACTTAATTTTACATCGAAATTCGTTATAGCTTGCATCTCTAACAGAATTTCCACTCCCATCAAACCAGAGGGGTAGGAAATTTGAGCAACCAAGTGGCGACGCTCTTCAGAAAATCCAAACCGTCCCATCATATTTTTATATTTTTCTATTGGAGTTGTTATGTTACACACAACCATACTATTTGTTAATTTGCGTAAATTGCCTGAAATAAACAATATTATTCCTAAACGAACAACAAACATTTAACGTTTACCTTCAAAGCTTGCTGTGAACTTTTTATGATCTAAATCGAGATTTGCAAATCCCCTTATATATTTGGTTTTGGTATAATAAATTTTACTAATCAGATAACCCCTGTTACAAACATTGAATGGAGTTGTCGCCATTACAGCACCGGTTAAATTTGTGTACTGATTATTTCTATCGATTTTCCAATTACTTTTTATATCAATCGCCTGCTCGGGGGCATACTGAAAATTTTTATTACGATCTGGGATCAAACTAGACACAAACAACGTTTATTTCAACAAATGCAAATAAAAGTTGTTTTATAATAAATTTTATTTATGCAATGAAAAATATTATTAACTAATATCAATATCAAAAATAAAAAACGAAATGCTCAACATTTCTAAATGAAATATGTTTTCTCATATTGTGAAATGTCATTTGTGGCTTCCGCTTATTTCAGACATTGATCTAGCGTTGTGTGGGATGAATGTGAAGGGTTAATTGTTAATACAGTGACATCGTTTTTAGAAATGTCGGAAGAATCAATTTTATGTGAATAGATGTGAGAGTGGAGTTTTTGCATGCTATGAATAGGAAAAACGGGAAAAATGGGGTGACTTAAATAAATTAATCGTGTACCATTAACTTGAGAATGGTGTCCACCTTTGATTCGGTTTTATTGTGGTTTAAATATGCACTAAGGGTTGGTATATTTTTGAGTGTACTTGTTAGCGCACTTTTCAATTTGCATTGAAATGCAGCGTCACTTATTGAATAATCCTCAAATAAATCTAAAGTGACGCTTTCGTCGTGTTTCCAAAATACACTGCCGTTTATTCGATACATGTTCCCGGTATGATGGTAGCTAAAATGTTGTTTTTTTGGTAAGGGGTAGAGGCGAAATTAAAACTTATTACCCTCCATTAATCGAGGTTTTTTGCCAGCCGTCAAACGGGGTAACGATCCGAGAATTAATTATAATGTATGTTTGGCGGTCCATATTGTAATCAACCTGAAGGTCAATTGCAAATGACTGCTGATCGGCCCAGGATAATCGAACGAGGGTGCCCAAGTGGCCATCTAATAATAGAATAAATAGAACTGAAACGCAAGGTAAATTAAAGGGAGTTCTCACTTCGTAACTCGAAATTAAAATTAGCTAGAATAGTCCGCCCGGGGTAATATATAAGAAGATTTCCTTCATAATTGAAAGAGGCAAGCTTAGTAAAGTTGCCAGAAACCACAAGTTTTTGGTTGTTGTCGCGGTTCGCATCCCACTTTAATTCAAGACCTGCAGCTTTGTATGTTTCCTTATTATATTCCCAAGCTGCAAAGCGAATGTCCCGGAGTCTGGCATTTATAAAGGTATTGATTATAGAGTGTGTTATGGGTGAATTAATTCAAACTTACTGGTCAATGTGGAATTCAAGAGAAACTCGCCGATGATCCCCAAAGTAAACAGAGCTGAGCATTGAGTACTGCTTGGCTTTGTATTTCAGTTTGACCTGGGTTGTAGTTTCTTGAGGTGAGACAACGGTATGTTTGAGGTAGAGACAGTAATTATTTCTGTCATGATCTGCCTGGAACATGTCCCAAATAATCTAAATTAAGTACAGAAATACTTGCTTTGTCTTTGTTAGAACGTGACTTTTTAGACAGTTGAATAATGAGAAAACGTCAGATGTAATTAATATATGCAGGTGACAGTCGATCGTTTAATATCCTGTCTTACCTTAAAATCGATTTTAAACTCATTGTTGTCGCGATAAAATTGCAAGTTCGTGATAATATCTTTAAAACTGGGAGACTTAAGCACCAATTTCAGGTGATGATTTAATGATCTCGCTGTACTCTTATCCTGGTAAAATCCGCGAGCCGAAGCGCTGTGGCCGCTGAACCAAGTCCCGCTTACTTCCACCTAAAAATGAAATTATCCAAAATAAGGCAATTATGATAATGCGTAATGTGCCAGTCCATTAGCAAAAGCGATGTTTTAAATCGTATCATATCCTAACTAGCAACCAACTCGAACAAACGATCTATTACTTGCTCTCTTGGGAGACTCTACTTTACTTATATCAGAAACTTTTGCACTGAAGTCTTCTTTTCGAGACACAAAAATAATTAATGTGAAAACTTACAATATACTCGGAGGCGAGTTTTTCCTGCAACTTTCCCTGCAAGATCATCGGAGTAAATGATGGAATCGTTATATTAATTCGTCCTTCCATCTGTTCTAACGTTGTTCGAGGGTGCGACCAAAACATGGTCACCGAAACTTCCTTATCATGTCCGTATTTAATTACTAACAACACATCGACAGTTGGATTCTTCACCACGACATTGAATTTTCCTTTCAAGTTAAGACCTGTCGATTGTTTGCTAATAGACAAAATTGTGTTTAAAGTTCGAGTGCTATCAGGCAATGATTTATAAGAAAAGAACCACTCAACGTTAAGTTTATGTAGCTCCGCATCTGGATGGTTTTTCTCTAATGGGCTCGAAGTCAAGTCGAATTTCGTCTCAACATGACCGACACCTTTCTAAAATGAAACTCTCGAAACAATTCGAAATTATTTACCGAATGTTACCTTAAATTGTAAATTTGCGTCGAAATTGAAATGTGGGTAGGAAGTGCTGAAAAGACTGCAAGTTCCTCTGTAATCGACCAAATTTCTAGGCGATCGATTAGCAAGTGAGAATGCGAACATAACTCTCTGTTCTTTTGTGTAAGCGAATTTGTAATCTAACTTCAAATTTGCAGCCACCGATGCTTCCGTTCTTGATATATAACCGAACAACTTCGAGGTCAGACGCTTGGTCTGAAATTTCAGGTCCACGTCATACTGTGATGTTCCCCTCTTACTAACCAACTTTAATGTTCCTGAAATTAATCGAGTTAAAAACTCAAATTAAATTCCGACATATCGGGTGTCTATTGAAAATGCACATTTATTATTTTTTTGTCTGGGGTAGATGATAACTGGGATCGAATTAAACCTTAAGATCGTACACTCTACATACATAAATTATAATCAAGTTAAACGTGGGATGTTTAACTCATAATAAATTTACTTAGACTAGAAAGTATTAATAAAGTTAGGTAGTATAAACGGAAGCGCTCGACAAAGAGGAGCAAAACGTTATTAATTTGATTGGTGCACTAAGGATTCTTATTATATCTGTACACAATAATAATTAACGCGAATTTATAAGTTATTTGAGTTTGGCAAACATCGTATTTGAATCGACTGAAAAAGTATAATGAAATGAACTAATTAAAATCGAAATTTGAGAAAAAAGAAGAAACTAATTGAGAATGTTTAAAGTGTTTTGTGAAGATCTTCGTTTAGTGAAAGTTTTATATCAGTTTGGAAGGATGTTCGTTAAAAATTTTGTCGAACCTTGTAGTTCAAGTACTCTTTCTCCGTTGATTCCTAAGTATATTTTGGGGTAGTAGTTAAATCCGTGTTTGCTGTCTTCTCGAATCAGCGAAAGATTCCAGTCAAAATGCTTTTTTTCATTGATTGTGAGGGCCAATTGTAGATACTTTTCTTTGTCGGTATTTTTGTATCTGCCGCGTGCCAATACGGTTCCTGCCGTGGATTGCAGAAAAAGGGTCAGATTTTGGCTTTGCCTGTCGACTGTAAAATTAGCGGCGAAAAGTCGACCAATAGAAGATCCGGGAGTATCGAAGGTCAGAGAAACAACGCTTAAATCTCTTTTGTCTGTCCATTTGTATTCAAATATATAAGTTTTAGCGGTCGGATCAGATTTTTCAAGAAATAATCTAAGTCCAGAAGGACCCGCTAAAACAAAGTAGGGTGCTTCATTTATTTTAGTCACGTTTATAAAATGATATTCTCCACAGAGCTTAAGACCGACAGTTTTGTCTACAGCTGGCCAAGAACAAATCGATTTGGAGACACGATGTTCTGAAGGGCCACTCTGCACTTGTTCGACATTACGTTTCATCACTATAACTTCGGATCTGCAAAATTTTATTTAATGAGGATTGTTTTTTGGAAAAAAGCAAATAAGTCTACCACATACTTAACGCCAAATATTTCGGATGTTTGTCGTGGAATGCTAAACTGAACATTGACAAGTTTAAAACCTCGAATTTTTATATCGCCTTCGATTGCACTCGACGTGTACATGCTTGATTTCAGTTTAATGCCAGTAGTAGCGTAAAAAGCATCAACTGTCATTACACCAGTTAAGTCTAGAGATATGCTGGGTCTAATGTTGGCTTTGAGGTCTAACTCTTTGGTCTTGATGAAATTGGTAGCATGTAAGGAGCCAAATAATTTCAAGTTTATTGAGGCGGTCCCTAGGGCATTTAAGGATATGGGCAATCCAGCTCCACTAGGCACGACGTAGTTACTATCCAGAAACATTGCCGCTTTGTTGTAATTGATTTCCTGTAATGAAAGTAATTAAATGAGCTGTCGTGGCCGGGTTGCTTGAACCGAACCGCTAAATACTTACTTTCCCAGAGAGAATTCGCTTTAAGTGATCTACGGGGTTAAGGGTTCGCAGGGCTGCCTTTATCTCCTCGTCTCCGTCGAACGTGGCGTACTTTAACTCATTGCCGAAAACTTTAAGGCCTAAAGACACCTGTTGTGACAATAATCATTAAAGAGTATACGGCACAGATGCCGACCATTCCAAATACCTTCGGGTCGCCCACCAAATTTTCCATAACGTTCGGTAATCTATCGATCTCGGATTTCAAGACTTCATTTTCTGGAGCACTTCGACTGAAACGTACTTTTGAAGCGATCTTCTCTTTCACTTTTTCAGAGTTTAATGGCCCTTTAGGTCCGAACATTGACTCCAAATAATTCTCGAAACCCTCAAGTCGTCCATACACCTGGAGCAAATTGAAAAATCACCCGAATCGACCCCAATTATAGCACAAACCTCCATTAAATTTATGGACTGCCCGAAAACATCCACCGTCAAATTCAGCATTGCCGTGCGGGGGACATAAGATGATGGGGAGAAAATTACATTACCATCGTAATTAGCCCCAACATTATACTCGTCGAAAAATACTGAACCCTCACGGTGATGCGAAAATTTCCTCACATCACTACTGAATTTCTTAACCAAATTTAGATCGGAAAGTAGACCCTGTATTTCCACTCTACTTGGAATGGAGGATTTCATCAAATTATTTAAATGACTCCAAACAAACGAGCCGACTGCAAGAAATATACATTATTTAAACAGAATTAACTGAATAATCTCCACCATCACCTTGGTTCACCTCTTCGTTTTCTAAACAATGCTTAACCGTCCGTATCATCAAATAATTGGGACAACGCATTATTTGTAGATAGGAAGCAATACGCACTTCGACATCTTCATCCTGATTCCTAAATATACTTTCAAAGTAGTCGCGGGACTCCATACACGGTAAACGACGATAAACTTCTACGGCAGCTAAGCGAATAGCTGCATCAATTTTACTATCCATGATAATACTGGCTAAATAACTTTTGATGTTATCCGAGACAACTCCTATATTCCCCAAAGACTTAAGCGCTACTATAATCTACGAAAGAAGACAAATTTCTTGTACAAATACTCGTACATATTGTCCGCTCTTACTTTATCCCGCGATTCTCTGTCGAATTGTTTTCTGGAATAAAGGCCAATAATTGTATTTTCCATTTTGTCGACGATTGCATTTACTGCATTAGTTTCAATACAGTCAGAGCGTTGAGAACAATAAGTGTGAGTTAGAGCCGTAACACTAAATGCGATGCTTGCGTCGAAGGGTTCTTGCTGCAATAGTTGCGCCGCAGCCTCCATCATACCATCGTCTGGTCTTGGAATGAACGCCAACGACATCATCCAATCCTTAATAGTACTTTCCGAGACTCCTCGTTTCAATATTATATCTTTCATGAGGGTCACCGACGCTGCGTTCCCAACGTAAGGCAACGCATCCAGTATGTGCTTTCTTGAAGGAAAAGAAAACGTTTTATTTTAGGAAAAATTATTGCATTTTGCGCTAGACCGAATTAACTAAGAATTACGAGAAGAACAAACATACTTTCCCGTAGGGCAGGTCGTGCCGGCGTGTCCGTAGAGAATCGACAGTGAAGGATAGGAAAGAAGCCGCAAGGTTTGAATAAATTTCGTGAATAAATCCGAGAACTCTATTTGAACGTCATCTGTGCCCTGCTTGCACATTTTCTTGATCAAATCTCTAGATGCTATTAGTTTGTCATGTGTAGGTTTCGACGAAGGTACGTGGTCGAAAAGTAGAGAAGTCCTTCTTGACAACTCCGACTGTTCTCCTAGTGTTACGGCATTTTCACCGACTAGAATCAATCTCTGCTCTACAATGGTGGTGGCACCTGCGTCCTGATTAGAAAATGGCTGTAAAACGTGAGACTCCTCGCATGTGATTTCGTTGTAGATGTTGTGATCGATCGACATTTGGCATCTACTCGACGACTTCAGCAAATTCTTTTCTTCCTGCAATTCCTGAAACAATCGCCGTATAACCCTCAACTGAAATCGACAAATTATACCGCAAATATTTTTTACACAATGATGGAGACATATTTTTTGAAAGTACTTTAGGAAAAAGCGCGATTTACTAGTTTGAAAAGAGCCAGAATTAATGGCAACATTGTTTCCAGAAGTTTGTTAGAGATGAATCTGTGATAGGATTAATTAAAATGTTGGAAGTTCGAATGACGAGCTGTGTGAAAAGTAATGGAAATTTTGAGAACGATAAAGAAAACAACGCGTTCAAAATTATATTACGATAATTAAATATGTAAATTTGACCTTTTTGACTTACTGGTCTGAAATTGTAGGGCACCGACTGCACCATGGAGTGCAGTTTGGCCCGGTTTTTGCATCCGTGCAAGTCTTTGGTTTTTTCAAGAACAAGGCTGGTTTCTTTTGCCCCTTGAACAGTATACTCCGTTGGACATTGTCCCCTCACGTCCTCTTCAGTCGTAGAGTGGTCCAGATCGAACCGCTTCATCGTATTATGGAACATAGATAAGATGCCCCTTTTGAAATTTAAAACCCAATTTTTTTCATCGTGTTGAGGGCATATCTCGGAGATAATCCCATCATTAAACGAAAATCTAAGGGTGTGTTCGCTTATCATATCCGAAAATTCTTGACTATTAGGATGCGGTGAAGTTTCCTGGCCGTCTTCAGAAGGGTTTTCACTTAATATAAGATCAGATAAGGTCAAGAGTCCGTCGCAAGGTGTTACGAAATTCAGAGTCACGGTCCCTTCTACATGCAAGTCCGATTCATTCCTGCTAGTGCCGTTAAAGAAGGACCGTACGTTTACAGAATACTTGTAATTTTGCTGAGTGCCCGGGCCGTATTTGAATTTTCCGGTACCTGAAACAGCTCAACATCATTTAGAGCTCTTATTACGCATAGATGTGTATCCGGATTTCAAAGAGCGTTATAACTGCAATAACAGTTCAGAAGAAATTCGAGTCGGTTTTAGGACAATGTAAACATCGTGAATTTAACTTTACTAAAATTGCTTTTAAATCCATCGTCAAGGAACGCTTGTAATAAATAAAGGCTAAGAAAGCTCAATTATTTCCACTTTAATGCGACCAATTAATTCATACTAAATCCTTTTCGAACTAATTAATATTTTTATCTGTACAAAGCGCAAAATGTGATCTTTTTATGCGAAAGTAAATTGGCGTTTTTACACAAAATATACAGACGCTGATTTATCTTTTACAAATAAAGGTTCATTAAGATGTACAACTTGATACACTCAATGTAACGTTTCAAACGACTACCCCTACAAAATTTTCCACTTTTTTCTTTATTAAATAACTTCAAATAACTTTGAAGTATTTAGAGCTATACAGTTTATACTCTCAAGTACGTAATTAAATTAACTAATGGAGTTGTTCACTTTGACAACCTTAAATTTTATTTAAAAACGAAACGAGAAATGTACGACTTGGTTGGTCATATTACTCTAGCTATTTAAAACTTTGCAATTTTAGTCCAAATTTTTCAGCAATATTGTTGATACCTTTTTTAGTATTAAAAATATTTTTCGTTTCATAAATTTTTTCACCGATTTTAAATGCTTTAAATTCATTTAGCATAACTTGTTTTGGAATTTGATCATTAATTATGGCTTAACCTTAATCAAATAAAACACTAATTCATATACATACTTGTAAATTCATTAAATAGTCAGGTTCGTATACAACATAATATTTTGATGTAGGCTCTAATGACTGTAAAGCTAGAAACCGGGTCTTTATATGTATATTTCTTATGGACTTTTCAAGCAAACATTTTTATATAAATAATACTGGAGGTAAAATTGTTTATTTCTTCAGCCAAGGTAATGAATATTTTATCAAATTTCTTAAAGACTTGTTTTTTCTTTTTTTAATAAAATAGTTGACGAGTAGAATTGTAAAATAGCACATCAATATTGCAAGAAAGGCACGTCCGGAATGTATTCGATTTGGGATTGAAGAAAGCAAAATAGATAATAACTGAAATTTTAAAGGGTGAAAGGAAATAAAAGTGAGCTTTTAGAGATAACGTGAATGTAGCTGTATGAATAGATTGCGAAAATATGTTAGAAGAAATTTGTGGGATATCGGAGAATATCAACAATAAGCAGATTTTTCTCACCTACTTTCACATTAATAACACCTATCAAAACTTTTTGTTGAGGGATGAACTTATTACTTTCAGAAATCATGCCACATTTTTACTAACTACATAAAAATAAATTGGGGCGAATAAATGTCTGCATTTTTGTGAACGTTATTTTTGATAACCTGACAGACGAACGTTACCTTTTTATTAAAAAAAATAAAAGTAAAAACTGGTAAAATTTTGTTGGGGTTTTTCAATCTCAAGCTTTTAGTCAAAGACAGTTTGCGTTCATTAACCTATCACTGCATTACAATTATTCCATCTGACCGAAACCGCTTTTCTTAAAAGAAAGACTTTTCCGAATGTAATTTTCTTTCTTTTATTATGTGACGTGACATGATATACAGGCATTTGACGGGAAATGTTTTGTTACCTAATTTTTACGCTTACAACTCAGAGCAACAGTCACGTAAAACTTTTTATACGAGCCAGTTTTGTTCATTTTGTGTAAAAGCTCAACATGCATAAATGGATTGCACCAAATTCATCCAAGGGTAACTATGTGTGAAACAGGATGGTCACGATGTAACTTGAAGTTAGCATCTTTAACGTCAGTTCAAGTGTTCATGGAGATTATGTTGCATATAGAGAATTTTCAGTTTTAATTGGCCCGACTAAAAAGCCTCCTTTAAGCCTGCAATTTATTCTAAAATCGAAACCAACTCAAATTTAGCTTTGTGGTTTATGTGTAAGGTATTAACTATTGTACTAGGTTAAATTCTTAATAACATTCGCCATAATAATAGACTTACCTTTACAAATCGGTCTTCCGCAAACATTTGGGTCTTTCAAGGGATCTGAAAGAGGAAAGGGGATTGTCCGTTAGTTCCATCGTTAATATTTACAACATACTTACTTAATTATTTCATACAAACACGCAAACACAAACATTCAATTATTGCCAACCATGATTCAAGCTCAATGCAAATAAAGCTTTTTCGTGTCTAATAAAACCTCAATAGAAATCCCAAAACTCTATTCAATAATTTACATTTACAAACTGCCAACTGATGTTGTTATAGAGATTTTTAAGTCACTTAAGTAAATAATAGAAAACAATTAATTTAATTATATGACAATGGGTTTTTTTACACAAAAGCTTTAAGTAACTTTTCGTAAATTTTAAACGAAACCACACACTTTTCATTCATTTATAATGCAATTACTGATGTTCATTCATTAATTATACAGTTCAAGCATTTTTTTCTATTTTAACGGGGAAAAGGTTACTCTTGGGAAATGAAGCCGTATTAGAGTATGACCATGAGGAAGACTTTTATTAACTCTATGTCATTTTAAAAATGCTAATCAGGCAACAATTTTGACAAATAAGTAGAACTATTTGACACGAACTTAACACTGCTATAATTATTTGATTGTTGGATTTGAAATTTCAATCTAACTGATATGGAAATGATTAGGTATTCAAAACCTGATCTGAATATTGTATTCAACCAATATCTATGCGGATTGTGGTGAAACTTTGACTCTTGATGGATAATAAACTTATAAAAATTTATAGTTCCATCTGCTAATAAACAATAAAGTAAGACGTTAGTTAGTATTTACAGTTTTCATCTTAAATGTTAGCTTAAAAAAGCAACTATTTTCATTAAAGCTGGATAATCTTATCAGTATCACGGACCTCTAACATTACTAATCCGGGTCAAAATTTCTACCACTTACGCAGCTTATAACCTTAAACGTTTTAATGCCGTCAGATTTAGTTACAGTAACAATTATAGCATAGATTTTAACTAACTGGTCCTACACTTATCAACTGGAAGTAATTATTTATTGTTACTATTGTTTTATATTTTTACAATGAAATGTCATAGTTCAAATGTTTTAAATTTTAATAGTTGGCTAAAGCTTTTTTTCGAAGTTATCTATTCTAGGAATTCTAGTATCTCGGTTGCTATTCCACCTCCGCTCTGAATGTAGCTGAATGTAAATAAGTGAATCGTTTTGTTTTGCAAAAAGCAGCGGCTTATGTCAGTCCTAATTTGTACTCGTAGCGAATGCAACGTAGATGTATCATTAATAATTTATCAAGTAATGAATATAAAACGTATTAAATATCACGTTTGGGATGTAGAATGTACACTGAAATGATTGATACGGAAAGTATTGGGTGTTATTTAATTCGGGAAAAAGTTGAAAACTCAGAAGCCGTTGGGTATTTGTTGCACGTAATCGTGTATAGAATTTTACCTGAGTCATGAATGTTTATATGTTGGAGATAAACGTCTTAACAGAAGTTCTTGCTAATTAGCAAAGCGGATATTAGGAGAGGAGGCAAAAGTCAACTGCTACTAGTTTATTCACAACAAACGATCTTAAGTTATAAGGAGCCTAATGTTCCAGGTGAATATCAAGTTTTACATTAGGTAGAGGAGTTTTCAAGTAAGATTAGTTGTTGTAAATAATTTCGAGCAGAATTAAGGTAATCAAATCAAGCAAAAGAAATAATTATGTCCAGCACAGTCGACTATTACAGGTATTTATGAAACTTTGAAAAAGCAATCAAACAAACGCGCAAAACATTTTTCTGGAGTTTGTTCTTTTATAGACATTTTTACTGAAATTAAATTTGTGTTTAGTGTTGAGGTAGCGACAGCGAGATGTTTCATTTTATTGTTTATTAGTTTAGTCAAGGCATCTGAGTTTTATACGTTTCTTCGAATAATACAAATAAATATCCGGGTATACTTACTTCGCTGAGCAAACGACGTTGTCGCTAGAAGAAAAGCCAACGTCAGCTGAAAGAAGAGCTTCATTCTTGAACAACTGGCATTGATGTCACAAAACTGCACAAATCACTGTTCATCTGTGAACCACAACAGTATTCAACCATGCTCTAACAACTAATGACTTATTAATCTCATCTTGACAATTTCAAAGGTCAGAAAGGCCCCAAAATCTATAAATGATAACGAGTTCAGAGGGCGAAGGTTACAACTCGTTACATTTAACAAAATCTTGTTTCTTAAGCTAAAATATAAGAAAATCATTATCATATTACATTCACAAACAAATGCTTTGCAAATCAGAAACCGATCAACTCATCTATTAGTGCATACAAAACAAATAAATTACGTTTATCTAAATGTTTAAAAGATAAATCACCTTAATGGCCGGTTCAATTAGAAATGAATTTCTGTTTTCCTAAACTGTCGTGTGGAAACTGGAAACTAGTCCATTTTGACTCGAAAATTATTAATCGTTCCTCGGTTTTAATGAACTAATCAAATCCGTTTAAACAAGATTTTGATTAAATATTTAAACACAAAGTAGACTGCATTATTTAAATTCAGCTCAGTAATAACTGTTTATCCAAATTTAATAACAGACAGATAAGGTTGTCAACATGATCCAAGTAATTAAGATCCACAGATTTCTAAAAATTTAAGGGAGACTTTTAAAATAAAACTATTTTAACAATATAGTATATTATTATATAAGCGATTAAATTATTTGAGTAAATAATGGCTAATATGATGCTATGTTTTTTCTACCTCTATTTAAAAAAATAAATTACACTCAAATTTGATAATTTTGATATTTGGCTGGCACGCTAGTCGATTTTCAGACGTAGAAAAAGTAGATGAAGAGCGATTTAAAATATCACTTGTTCAGCGCAATAGTAATTTTAGAATTTATATTTGAGGCGTTTAAAATTAGAGAGGCCTAATCCACAAAATTTAGTAATCTCAGTCAAACTGCTTATTGTTCAAATTTTCAGTAACACGCTGTATTTGAATCAAAATAAAATTTTAAAAGTTAAACTTTGCTAATGTGGGTTAGCCCACTCTAATTCTCAACGCCTCATAAAAATTCTTTTAATTGTGATTCAATTAAATAGCATTGCAAAAAAATATATTTATAAAGGTCTATTTATTTGTTCAATTAGGTAATCGATTTTTCGCCTCATTAGCTCTTTTTTTTATTTCTGCTTATTGTGTAACTTCTTAATTTACCAAGTAATCCTTAATTGATTAATGGCTGTTTAAACTTTTTTCACGTAAATTTCCTTCCAATAATTTTCACTACCGAATTATCCGACACTAGCTTAGTTTACCACCACGACTCTTTATCCTATGTCTTATTTCACAACTTGTAATAATTTATATTCCTAGAAAAATTGACGTCAAGCAATTTGTGTTCATATATGAAGCCAGTTTTAAAAAGTAATCTAGTAATGACTTTATTGTACACAAACGGTTTGGTGTTTTATGAATTTTGATGTTATCGTAATTAATAGTGGTTATTCTAACTACACAGTTGATGAAGATCAAAGGATAGATTCAAACCAATCTGACCACTTCAGCGCATCAGGCAGTACACTTTTAATCACATTCACTGTTCATTTGATTGCCAGAACTAATCAAACGTACTTTTTTATCTACATTTACTACGCTCAAACGCATCAGTATCAGATTATCAAATAAGAATTGTTGACAACAAAGGAATTGTTCAGTTATTATGAATTCATTTCAACTAAGCGTAACCGACAAGAACATTTAGTGCACGTGCTACACCGTTCGTAAAGAATAATCAATGTATCCCGTGGTCCGACCGCTCAACTGTCTGAAATTTTAAAAACCTTTGAGCTACAAAAGACATTGAAAAGTTTTACAATGTTGAATGAATCCAGTGGCTGTTTCAAGATGTGGTGTTTAAAAGTGACTCATCTTAGTTTGGAAGATACAAGATACGTAACTTGTAACAAGATACGATAATGTAAATAAAAATTGTGACCCAATAAATGACGCAGAGTATTATCAAAATGTAACCTATAAACAAGAGTTATTTTTCAAACAAAGTGTGAAAAACCTGTGAACTTGCTAAGAATTAGCTTGTTACAGTTTTTACATTTGAAAATTTATTTTACTAGATCATCTATACAGTAATAAGAACCAAATTCCATTTTCTGAAGATAATGTTTCTTACTTCGAAGATAATTTACACAAGCAGTGAGAAAACGGAAGGATTTTTTCATTTATGGAAATGAGAGCCACTTAACAAGAATATCATCATCATTTATGATTTATGAAAAAAGGTGTTTTAGTCATTCCAGATTGGTCTCAAATTTAATTTGATGAGGGACAATTTTGAGAGAAATATTTTGTTTGGCAAATATGTGTATCTGGTACGGTATGTTAATTAAAATCTTGTCCATGAGATACCTCATGTGATGAAAGCAGAGATATTAATGAACGTCACAATTACAGTCGAAGCCGAGCTAAAAACAATTTCTCTTTAGCTTTTATTAAGGTCTTTAGTGTTTTAAAAGATAATCCATGCTCGTTATTTATCTTAACAAAAATAAAAGCAACAAATATTTATTAGCTATTAGAAAAGAAGTAGATTTTTAAAAAGTTGTTTTTGTTGCATTACTATTTTAATAACAATATTTACCTAGTGGGTAGCGTAAAGCTGCATTTTCAGAGCGAATAAAAACTTTTTATTGCGGTGTTGTCGCTTAAGGAGATGGTAAAATTTGTTAGTGCTATCTTAAAGGCATCACCTTATATGTTAGCAAATACAATTTTTTATTTGGTGATACAGAGCAAAGGCTACAAAATCTTCCCAAATCTCAAATGAAGATTTTTAACAAGGGACAGAAATTTTCCAAATGTGTAAAGTTTTAAATGGAAAAAACGAAACGAAACGAAAAATTCAGCTTCATGTATTTATTACTTCTCATAACATTTGCTTTTGCACTTGTATGACATCAGTTTCTGAATTGGTATTTCGAGTGCATTGTTCAAATAAAATATTTGAGAGTATAATAAATTGAAATTGAAAGATATTAAAATATGATACGTACAAATGTCTAAATGTAATTTTAAAGAAATATCGTCTTTATTGTATAAAAGTAGATATACCTATAGTTAGTTCACTCGTATACAATTCAATTTATCTGATCGCAACGTTCAACATACAGTATTTTTGTATTTATTGATTGTTAGAGTAACTAAGGGCCAGGATAATATCCGATATGACCTACACAAACAATTTAAAAAGCAGACATTGATGACTGATGGCGAGAAGATCGTTATAGGAGTTCACATTTCACGCAAGCTCCGTAAAGTTTGTAATTCAGGATCTTTCGTCTCTTAATTACATAGCGACGGTTTAAGTACATGTCCTCCATCTACAATCATGTGAACTTGCTAAAACTGCTGCTCCCAAACCAATTTTATCTTATTTAAACATCTTTTCTTATAAATTTTCATCCTGTTAAAAGTCAAATTTTCTAATAAATGTGCTTTTGATTTTAAAGATTATTAAAGCCGCAAACTTGTCAGTTACGTAACTTATTGCTACTTTCCCTTATACCACTATAATAAAATTGCTTCATGGAATATTAATTACATGTAATAAAAGCTTCGCTCTTTGTAGACAAAACTAATTTATTTTCAATCAATTATTTTCAGTAATTAACAGTTTGAATCATAGGTAGTTCCATCCAACACCTACATTAAACGAACTTGCTTTAAAATTTGTTTTAAAACCAAAAATTGCATTACAAACATTGATGTTTATTAACAGCCACGCTGATAATTACACCAACAGAAAATTGACTTGAAATGACCAATCAATTGCAAAAGATGTAAAAAGAAATTACTAAAAACGTTGCACTTTTCTACGGTTTTCCGGGAACTGTGTCTTTACACAACCGTGCGTGAATGGTAAATAAATAAAACGCACGAATGCGTAGTAACTCTAGAAACAAATCGAAATGAAAATATTAGTGCTTAAACAGTTTTCGACAAGATTTAGTTACGGTAGTGTTTTTCATGATTAAATTTAGTTTCAGTTAAGAATGGAAACTATGTTCCATTTGGTGGGGAAATAAATCAGTTTGATTGTGCCTGATATATCAATGACACCGTGCTTCTTTGTGCTTTTATGCATTCAATTTAAATTTGTGAAAGTATTATTAGAGAAGTGGCTTTTCTAACTTTAAATAACTTGTCCTCCCATCATATTATGCACGATTCTTACTGAAAATTATTCCAGTGGAAAAAGTCTGCAACTCTGTACTCTGAGTAGGTATATATATAAGAAGCTGGAATCCGACTAAGAACGGTTCAAAGACGTTCTAAGGCAAAGTCAAAAATCAACCGCTGTTAAGGTTGGAGCAAACATATAAACTAGCTAAAATTAAAATTGCTTTCAGGATTCGATCAAAAGCGCAATTTTAATCAATTAAATTGTATTAAACGAGAAATCATTTTTTAAAGCTAGGATCATGCCCTTGGGTAAAGAACGGGTCGGATCATTATACGAAGTAAACAGCCTCTTTCCCGTCATCACCAAGGTTTTTAAGCGAGCGTAAGCACAAAACAGGAAGATTACCCGATCGAGCATCCAACAGGGCCGGATTAATAAATCTGCCACCTTTAAATAAAGAGGTACAGGCTTCATTATTGTCAACAGCTATCGGAGTTGTTAAGTAACAATCACTCCACTTAATAATATTGTTGGAACTTATGAAAAAATCATTTAATTAAAGTAATTGCACCAACACAATCCGTATATTGATGTTCGGTTAGGTTCATATGTTCACAAACAATATAATTTGATTCCCGACGATGTGCTTAGTTGCAAACAGTTCCTAGTTACTTCAAAGAAATGTTCGACTGGAGTGTAATATAATTCCGATTAGTTTTATTTGAAAATAAACGCTGGAATTACGTTCGGTAGATTTAGTCTTTTGCATAATAAATCCAGACTTATTGGTATTGTTGCTGTAATCTATCTTTGGTTAATTCAGCTAATAGCCTCGTTAATTATTAGCTGTGTAGTTAACACATGGTAATTAATTTATTAATCATATTCCAAC